GTGACCTTAGCTGGGCAACGTGGGGCCGAACCTACCTCTCTCTCCTGTGAGAGGGAGCGGGCTGTAGGTTTGCATATCAGCTGATTAGCTTGAAAGGTTAGGAGGGCCGCACTCTTGTCTCACCATCTGCGCTGTGCTGCAGTACTACCACATTAGGGATCTTTAAACAGATGGTTTGAGGGCTGCATTGGAAAATGTCAGGACAAATCACCATCCCCGGGTAATTACTGTTTTGAGCACTCCCCTTCTTAATCTGCATCTCTGTCTGCCTCTAGCTTTCTCGCTATATATTTTTGGATCCTTTTCCATGGCTACCGTTTTCTCTTGCACTTTTTGCTGCCCTAAATTGTGTCTCATCTGTTTCTCCACACCGTTAGATTAAGGCGAGCTTTGAACATCGGCAGACAAGTTATCAAGCCATCTATTGAATTCATCCTGCACTCTGACACTGTCTCCCTCCCTCTGTTGGTGTGCCGAGGACTGATGTGCTAATGTAGCAACAGCGGGAAACTGGTTGTCCTCTTGTAGCGTCTGAAGTACGGATGTAGAATGTCAAGCAGGAAGCACCACCACTGGCTTTTTTTTTTTTTTTTTTTAGCTTTTCCCTCATCACTCTGCCACCCTGTAGCCTTCTAACCTCTGTGGCTCCCCTCTCTGCGTTTCTATTTCACTCTCTCTTTCTGCAGCTGCTGTGCTCACAAGCGCAGGGTACAATCACACGGACGGGGATTCATGCGAACGAGGAATTATACATCTGGCTTCCCTGCTAACATTAAGATTTCATGCCTCCTGGTAGCACGACGCTGGGTGGGCAGAATGAGCAACAGAGAAGGAGAAATGAGAAGGGAAGGCGGTAGGCGAAAAAGAAGAGGGAGGCATGTTTGTCTTTAAATTTGTGATGGGGTTCTTGGAAAAGGACGAAGAATTTGGTTCAGGTGGTGTTTAGATTCACGTTACTGGCTTGAAAATACCTGCTCAGGTCACGTAAAGCTAACAACATTTCCTCAGTAACTGGGGAAGAGCAAGTTAGTCGCTAAACTGATGAATACTTCACTCTAAGCAGCATAGGTTTTAGCGAAATGAGAGATGCTAAACAGAGCTTGCACGGATTCCATTTGGGCTGAAAAAGAGAGCTATTCTGTTTCTCTGGCATTACTGTGATTGGTGATGGCTGAAATGGATTCAGATGCTTCAATCTTTAAAGGCTTTTATCTCCAAGCAAAAAAAGAAGGAAAAAAAAAAGGAGATTCAAGAATCTGCATGGTGATTGCTATCCTTCTTTTCCCTCATGGGTGGGTAACATGTGGCGCACATTACCTCAGAAAGCATTTGTGTGCTGTGGGTGTCCTAAATCATGTTTTTTTAAGTTCCACATGGGTTAATTCTCACAGGAAATGAAAAGAAAAGAAAAAACTAATGAGGAAAAAAAATGCAGCACAAGCATAAACCAAACCAGTTTGAAAATAAATCCATTCCTCTTGAACAGTTAGACCATAAAACACAACTCAGTTCTTTGTTTCAATCGTAATATCTTTTCATTAAAAGTTTCAAACCATAGGGGAGGACGTTTCTTTAGCTAAACCATAGAAAATACACAAAAAGGGGGAATACAATGTTGACACAGAGGATGTGAGAGAAATGGATGGCTGGGACTGTTGAACTGGAACCTGAAAAAAGCGGAGAGGATGGCACATATCAAGGAGCAGCGTTTCCCCTGTCCCCCCATCCTCTATCCATCCGAAATGACGAAAAGAAACTAATGAAAATAAAAAAAGGAAACACTGAGACATTGAATGCTTTCGTCATCCATTAGAAGGGAAAAGGAAATAAATGAAAGCAGGGTGCCTAGGGGGGCTACCAGTGTGAGAAACCTCAGTGAGATTTTTTTCCCCTTGCTATAAAAAGAACTGAACGGTGCAGAAATATTCTTCTTTTTCTTTTTTCCCCCCCAAATCATCAAACAATTGAAAGAGATTTTCTTTTTTCTCCAGAATAAAATCAAGACATTTTTCTCAGAAATAAGTTTTTTCATAGTTTTCTTAACTTCATTTAAAAATCTTTGTCAGTCAGAGAGGTGTCAAGCCCCTGTTCTTTCTTTTCAATAGTCTTTGCGAAAATATAGAGTAGAACAGTCTTCTTTCCATGTCTGTCCACTGCAGCAGTAAACAAATACAGTATGGGATCCGACAGAGCACATTGCAGGAGACGGGGAGCAGTGTGTGTGTGAGATCTTTGTGGAAAATCATGTACTTATGTATAGCTTTTCAGAAGTTCAGTATCTCTGTGTGCATCTGCATCTCGGCATGAGCGTGTGTGTATTCAAGTGAGTGCGTGTACGTCCGTGTGTCTTCACACTTCAGTCTGGAAGTCTCCTTCGGACGAGTCAGGTGTGTTAGCAGAGGAGGAGTCCCAGTTCTTATTGTGCAGCTCCATCCGGTCCTTCTGCTCCCCAGGAACGATGGACAGCTCGGGGGTCATGGTTTTGAAGCTGTCCCAGGAGCTCTGGTCCTCCGGGGTTGACTTGTCCTGATGGAGAGAGAGGACAAGGAAAAGCGCCATATAAGGAGAAATATTGGAAAATGAAGGCACCGTGCAGACGTTAAAAAAAAAAAAAGATACAAAAATCTTAAACACTTTTATTTTGATATTTTATTTAGACACCATTTTTATCTAATAACAGTGGTGACATTGCAAGTAAGGGCAAGAAACATGTGCAGTTAGATTAGACACACTTATGTGGAAGAGAGAGGTCGGTCCTCATCATCTATTAGTTTACAGACAACCTTCCTGCTAAACCACATTAACAACCAGACAAAGAAATACCACAAATGAAAACACTGAAAAAAAAGATCCAGATTGATGCACCTGAACCAAATATATAGTGTATTCTACACATTATTTTTCTCGTCAAAACTTGTCGCCTACATTAACCACAATGCAACTTGACCACCTCAATTTGGTGTGTTATGCTAGTAGTGGCTGATGTAGATACGAGGAGCAGGCTACAGAGATATTTCTTTCATTTTCAAAGTCGTAGTCTTCAGCCCCAACCGACACTGACTCAAGTGACATCACTTGAGGCAAATGCTTCACAAATGCTTAACAAATGCTGCACTACTGTAAAATTAGTGGAGGTTGCGTTTATTTTTATTTCCAGTTGGGTATTGTGCTTACATACAGTAGTACATCTTCTTATATCAACCTGTTTTCAATCAAATTATAACCACATTAACTTTGGGATCCAGGGACCCAGGAAACTCGGGGCCCACACCTGGGGCACACTGATGGGTTAAATATTGCTGACTTCCTGGTTCCTGGTTTGGCACACTCAATTTTCGTCTTATGAAGTGGTTTAGATAACCTCACTAAACTGTTTCCATATGTGTAATCATCCGACTACACGTGTTTCTTGCCATGTCAGACTTTGCAATGGCGTTTCCAAATTTGAGCCATTGAATTTTGTGAGTACAGTGTTATCAAAATGGATAGAAATGATGGCCAACACTACGAAATAAAACCTAAGTTGTAGTCAGCTGGAATTTTTCCTTTAAATGAAATACCTGGACACCATTGCCTTGGCCAGTTTTGGCCAGCACACAGATTTGGAGATGGATACATTAAAATAAGCACTCACAGGACCTAAATGGAATCTTTTGTCTCTAAGCTTGGCAAATATCAACATACACACAGAGAGGCCAAACCACTGCCTCAGTGCCATGTCTAAGAGGTTAGTTAACACAAATACTAAAAAGCAGTACCATACATACCTGTAGTTCAAAGCACCTTTCCATTTTTCTATCAAAAACTACCTCTGTTCTTTTATTTAGAAAGAATATACCTGTCCCACTTTGATCTCCCACCTCTCCCAATCAGTAACCTTTGGCTGATGAAAGCGGAAAACCTTGGGTCTGTGATCGCTGCATGTGGTCCACAGATGTGCCCACCATGCATGTAAAATACATGTTGGGGGATTAGCTAAAGACGGATTCAGAGGTAGCATTATGCATCAGATAAGGGCCATTATTCAAATAGGACTCATTATCTCGGAGATAATGACTTCACAGATACGAACTGGGAAAGACATGAGGGGATCGCTAGCCCACGTGACTCTTGGAGGAGCAAAACATACAAAGACAAACTTGTGGTGCTTCTCGAAGACAGAGTGGACCGAGCTGCAGTGGAGCTTCCTGGGCTGCATGGGGCTCAATATTCATAGTCTAAATGAACATTAAGAGGATGAGTGTTCACAGAGTATGTCTTGCAGGACAACACATCCTGATGAGTGCTTTTAAAAGTGTATTTGAGAGGGGAAAACCAGATGTGCTTTATGTGCAAGTATCTACCCCTATGTGGCTGTTTGTACGTATGTCATCAATTAGAGAGCACTCCTGTATCTGCAACTAAGCTATCTCCTTCTTTCATTTCGTTCATGCCTTCCCTTCATTGCACCAACTCTTATAAAGTACTCATACGCAATTCACTTTGAGCTATTCACACCCTCAATCCCTGTCTATCTCTTCATCACACACACACACACACACACACACACACACACACACACACACACACACATATATGCAGTACACACAACTCATTGATCTGCAGTAGCACAGCACTCCCTCCCTCCCTCCCCCCCTCCTCCTCGCAGTGTGATGATCGTCGCCGGAGCGCTAGGGGGCAATATCTGCCTGATTATCATTCTCCCTGCGTCACAGCCTGACAGTTGGTAAAATGAATACAAAAGGCATAATCTGGGAGCCAATTTGCATGCTAAATGCTGGCGAAGGAACATTTTGTAATGCAGGAGTGTGGGTAATGCTGCAGTTAAGCCCAACTTTATCCCTGGGAGACTAGGCTAACACGATTGTGCTGCCACTGCGTGTCTATCTGTTCCCTTTCGCCATCTCTGCCAGCCTCCATTCCCCTCCTTGCCCCAAAGCCCCATCTCATCCCTCTCTTTCTCCCTCTCTCTGCCAGAAACCCCCTCTACTTACACTCGACGAGTTCTTTTCACCTCCGGCAGACGAAATGCTCCATCGCTTTTCCCTCTGTGGTGATGAAATGGGAGGGAGAAGACAAGGAGTGGGTGACGAGAGAGACAGAGAGAGAGAAGAAGGGGGGGGGGGGGGGGGGGGATCACAGTCACTGACAACTCTGCCCTGAAACAATAGCATTGTTCCCACACCTTCAGCAGGTGAACAGGCAGTTGTTGTTTTGTGCTTACACCTTACCCTCTCTCTCTCTCTCTATCTCTCTCTCTCTCTCTCTCCGCCTCAGTTTCCGAAATCCCCCTCATCAGCTCTCTCATGACAAAACACGTGTACACGCTCACAACATGCACACATGAGCAGAAACAGTGCAAACAATGATCGGACACGCAACGTCTGCATGGTTATACAGGCATAATTCAAGTGTGTTGGAACAGGCAGTGTTTTTTAACATCCTGAGCTGTCAGAGCTTAGAGGAAAAGTGACGAAGCAGGGACAGAGTGAGTGAGACACTAATAGCCGCTACAACTACTATACAGGGGATAAAAGAACGGACGGCATGTGGGCGTAAAGTAATCTGATTCTAAAAGCTGCAACAGTGACTCTGCTGTGCAGTGCTAGAGGCTTTGGAGCTCATGTATTCTAAATAATGTTGAAACTGGATAACTAATCAGGTTATTAGTGCATGGAAATGCTATCTACACTTTCTGCATTATTGATTTGATACTGTATGTGTTAATACAACACATAAAATAGTTAAAGCTAGGCTATAAAACAGACATTGCTGACTCTGTATGTCCTGCCTCTGGCATAAACACATAAACCTAGCTTCCCCTGCTGTACCTCTGCAGTGTTATCTATGTTTTTTTTATGTTGTAAACTGCAGCGTAAGGTTGCTTGCTTCTGTATGTGTGGTCTGTTGTTTTTTAGTCCAATATTTAAAGGTGTTCTGAATTTCTAGGTGTTTTTCTAGTTGGGACACTAGTGCAGAAATTAGAAAAAAGTTCTATGTTGCTTTGTATCGCTGTTTTCTTGGTAGTTGTGTTGACGGGCTGACCACTCTAGAAATGATGTGTGTGTCACTAGGTGTTTGGGGAGGGGAATGGAAATCCCAGTCCGCCTCAAGTCTAGGCCCAAATTGATTCCCTATAGTGGCTCTAACAACTTGGCTAATATTGACTGGACCCTTTTTTTTTTTTTTTGCGAGAAGTATTTCAGAGTATTGTTTAAAGTTTATGTCCGACAATTTTTCCATCATTAAAAAATCTGCAGATGAAATAGCACATAATTCCGCCTAAGAGTGTTTGGGAGCGTGTCTGAAACAGTGTGTGTGTGTGTGTGTTTGCTCTCCATTCAGAGATTAAAAACATTTCTGGGCTTGGCATATTGCCTGGGGGTGTCTTGATTTACTGTCATATGTGATGTGCTCATTAGCTAGCCTACATGTTGGAAATTTATAGAAACTTGAAATTTGCATCTGGTACACAACAGTTTGATACTTTGAATTGATATGTTTTCAGCGGCATCAGTGGTGGAATGTAAATCCAGTACTTTAATATCTACATTTACTCAAGTGCTGCACTTAAATACATATTCAAGGTACTTGTACTTCACTTAAGTATTGCTTTTTACTTCACTGCAGTTATCTGACAGCTTTATTTCATAATTACTTTACTGATTAAGATTTTACACACAAATCATAATACTCATAATGCTGTTTATAAAGTATGACCCATTATTACACATTTAACTGGCCACCATGTGGTAGTTAAAGTGAGCTCCACCTCCACCTGCTACTTACACATTAATGCTTACATACTTCAGAGTGACTTCATATTGCAGTTTTGCTATTTTAACTTAAGTAAAGAATTGAAATACTTTCTCCACAACTGAGCTGCATAGACGAAACAGATGTACATCTTGAGATGTGCTAATCTGGTTGATTTATCAATAATTTCTGTCTTTATCTGCTTTCCTGTCTGTCTCCTAATACTACATCATTTCTACTTGTTCTTTCATTTTCTTTCAACATATGTCCAAACATATGCAGCATTTGTATAAAAACCAAAAATTTTCTTTACACTATGTAAAAAGCCAAAAATATCAGGGTTGGCAACAGGACAAACATTATCAACCATCTGTGATAGACTGAATTCATGGCTGACAGACTTTCAATGACAATAATGTGTCCTTTTATCAGCATTCAAAGCATCAAACGTGATTCTGTAATTAACTTCTAAATGCAAAGTTTGTGCACCATCAGTGTTGCAATGGAACTGGCAATATGGAATACACTGTCCATCACTGATAGGAAAACTTTAGCTAAATTCCCCAATGATGGGATGTTTCAGGCAAGCTGCATGATTATCTTAGAGAAAATGCTACAAGCTGCAAGCGTGACAAAGCTAAGTGAAGAAAACAGTTTGTAGGGATAGTACATACTAGAAAAAAGACGCTACTGCCCAAACATCGAGCCTCCGCGACAGTGTTGGTGGATGTTGCCCACTCACTGCCACTCAGTCCCCCTCATTTGGACCACGGAATGGAAATTGTGTCTGAATGTGGGTGAGCAATGTGGCAGGCTGTCTTTGGGAGATGATGGGGGGGACAGGTGGTTGTGGGTAAGCAGGTTAACTTTACCTTTGTTGACTTGGATGCCCATGGTTCTGCTGACTGTCTGGCTACATTCAAACTGGGACATGACAACAAGCATGCAACACAAGGCCCCGTCAGCCAACAAAGGACATAAAAACAGAAAACAAAAAAACAAAAAACAAAAATCAATAAAATGTGGCAGTAAGGCAAAGAAAAGACATAACAGTACAATGAGTGTGAGGATCAAATGAAACAAATTTAAAATCACATTTATACATGGAGAAAATGAAAGTAACATCAAAAGAAGACTGAGTGGATATCAGAACACGGCTATAGTCTTATAGCTGTCAGTGGGCTTTGAGTCACTGAAGCAGAAGTGGACAATTTGAAGCCATCTATGTGTGTTTATTTCATTATATCATCAAGATAATGATCAAATCCTGATTTCCCATTTAGCACTGGCATAATTTATTAGGGGGCACAAAAATAGACTAACTGGGCATAGCAGTCTTTAGCACCATTTACCCCTTAGCTGGGAATGAATCTGTGCCACAAGTAATAAGGCCCTTCAAAGGAGCCAAATCTAGAGAATGTAGGGCAAATAAATTCCATTAGTGCAACACATTGCAAACAAACGAGCAATCAGACACACAGGCTTGGTTCGCTGCTGTCTGGGCCTGTGCAGTGCAGCGCAATGCAATCCAAGGCCTGTGTTCCTTTAGTAAAAAAAAAAACTGTTCCAGCAAGCGATTCGGCCCTTTTCACCTCCCTTTAATTGGCCCAAGGACACTAAATGAGCTAAATTAGTATTGTGCCTCTTGGTGCATGAAGCTAGTGTTAGGCTTGTTCCGCCTGGGCTAACCGTCCCCTCATTAGGAGCCACTGATAGAGCCAGTGTGCTAAAGCTACACTCCGCCAGCCCTCAGTTTTCATGGGCAATTTGTGTGGAAGGGTGAAAACAGTTGATGAGTTTATGCTCGGCACGGAGAAGGGGGGCAAGGAAATAATTAAAAACAAGCTAATGAGAGGAATTAATTATTCAATTAATGCCTCAAACGTGCCACCGAAGGCTGAGTTTAGAGGGAGAAATGGGAAAATGAGGGCGACGGGAGAGAGAAAATGTCAAGCCGTGAGGATGAATTGAAGGGAGAATGAGATATGAAGAGGAAGAAGAGGGGAGGACTTGGTTTATTACTGGAATGTGAAATTGAAGCCCCTTAGCTTAATGCCAGCAAATTGACTATCAAGACCTACGGGGTTTGCAAGTGCAGGCAAATTGCCCCCTCTGAATCAACAAAAATTGAGTCTTTTGTCATTTAAAATTATACATCTTCATTTTACATGAGACATCCTCAAAGCATACACATTACCTTACCTAAATTTCCCTTCAGTGGCCTAAGAACATCGCTGGAATATCAATAACAGACACTAATGTTAACTGTGGAGTCATAAAGAGAGCACCCCAGGTCTCACCTCTCTTTTATGGGACAGGATAATGGTAGAGCCCTCTTAGACAATACCACAATGTATTTCCATATGTAGCCTAGCAGACCAGGCTTTCAGCATAGGATTCAAAAGGACGCCTACAGCCACTTAGATTGAATAGCAAATGCATCTTTCATGATCGAAAATTTGCTCGCTGTCCCTGCTCTGATCTAGCATGAGTGAAATCACAACAAAGCAAAGTACTTGTTTCCTTTGTCTTTTTCTCCATCCCACTGCGCTCTGCACAACTCCTCGCTGCCTATCTGGAGAGGGAAGCCAAGCACGCTTCATTTAATCAAGAACACAGCAGACGACGGGATGGAAATATATCCCATTTGAGAGCTAAAAAATGCATCAGCCAGGCCATTACGCAGTGCTAACGCTCTCTCTCTCTTTTACACACACACACCGTCCATCCCACACAGAGAGGCAGAACACTGCATCATTGGGTACTGCATGCAAATTTGTGTTACGACCTTCTGAACCCTGTGGAGAGGATAGAGAACGACGGGCTAACTCCACAGTGACGGAGGCCAAGAAGCCGTTCTAAATCTAAACATTAGTGCAGGCAGGGAGGACTGTGTTACATACACACTGCATCTACTCTGTCTTTCAGTAACCCCACTGATTCCATTTGTATCCTGTCTCCATTACGTGAGACACAATGTAAAATGGACTCCATCCCCCGGCTCGCCATATGGCCCCTGCCAGAGCATCCACTGTACTTAAAACAGAGCAGGATTTGAATTTGTTTTCATCATTAGCGTTAAAGAGCAGCCCACTTTCTATCCACTTCATCTGAGTCGTAGCACTGCAACAGATATTATTCACGTATGGGGGCAGATAACGGTGTATCTATACCAAAACAGACACACACAATTTAAAGTCAGAAGCTGTTCCGATGTAAACAAAGTCTAATAACAGCTAACAATCCACAATCAATCAACATAAGCTCACAGTGACCCCTGTAACTCTTGTAGTTTCAGAATATAAAACAGTTGCTATGTATCTTACCGCATTAAAAATGTGCACAGATGTCTGAACCCTGCAGGAGAAAAATATGTCACAGCCTGCAACTGACCTTTGTTAGCCATAGTTTACCAGTAAGCCATTTCACCGAATAGATTTTCAAAGGTCATGTATATATATTTTTTTAACAGAGGGCAACATGTACATTTATTTTCAGGCTACGGGAATAGCTCTGCTAGCTTCAGCAGCCTAACAGAAACGACAGACAAGGTTATTTTCAACACTGAGGTTAATGGGGAGTCTTGTAATATAGTGTCTGCCTCCCACCCCCTTCTTTCCGGTCACGTCTTTCCCCTCTGTTTGCATCTATTAGGCGTAACACTGAGTCATCACTTAACAGCCTCAAGCTATCAGTGTGGTAAAGATACAGATTACCAGTTCCCGGGCAAGACAGAGTTAATAACAGTATAACAGGTGGCATGAGGGACAAGAAAAGCAGAAATCATCAAAAGAAGTATGAAATATGTGGATTTTATCTGTGATGGCACATGTAATGCCCGAGACCACTTTGAGCCCACTGCACTTACACAGAAAATTGGATAAGATGTGAAAGTAGAAATAGGTGTGCCCATGTGTGTGACATTTTCTGATATCCACTCATCTTCTCAACACGGCCAACACAGAAATCCTACCTTTCCAGAGAAGTAAAATGGATCAAGTCTCTTCTGACCCCATAAGTCCTTGTGATATTTCCTATAGTCTTTTACCAGCACCCATACAAAGTGCATCGTGTTTGGCCCCGTTTTAGTGCCAATGAGCTAGTTTATGAGCAGAATATCATGCTTTATGAGGTGATTATGATTTGGTTTGGATGGGTCATTGTCTTTATGAACTGATTTATCACTCAGTTATGGTGTTTAGATCATAAGGTTTAATTCAGACACTGAAATGGGCACAATGACTGTATGGATTGTCACATCACACACAGTGGTGCTACAAAAATAAAAACACAACCTAAAACAGCTAAACAACAACAAAAAAAGTCCTTCTATGTCCTTGTTTTAATCATGGGAGATTAATCCAGTCCTGCATCAGACCACCTTACAAATCCATATCTCTGGTTACAGTGATTCCAGATTGTATTTGAATATGAATTTGTACAGGACTTGATGAAGGAAGGGAAATTAGCATTCATTACATGAATGCACAGGCACAGGGGGTACAAGCTGTGACGCACTGAACTGTTACAGCACCACACCGCTAGGGGACCATCTAATATTTAGGCACTTCACTATGAGACAGCGCTGATGGGTAGTAGATGAGCAGCTGCATGGGAGTAAGCTCATAGACCCTGTCTGTGTGGCTGTAACTGCAAATAGTAACAGTCTGTATGAGTATGTTCGTAAACCCCACCCCCCACCTGTCAAGCTTTCCATTATAGCACAGCACATATGCAGTGTACCATGATAATGGTGGCAGATTTACCATTAGAATTCTTAAATTTGAAGGAGTGGGTCCTTGATTTTAGACAAAAGCAGATTTCTCATTTTTAGCTGGTGACCACCGATTCTGTTGTCCGAAATGCTTTGCTGAAACTTTATCAGCTGTAGCTAGTTAACTAATTACGCTAGCATTCCAGTTTGGCAAACTTAACCCTATCTCAGGTAAATTAACCGTGCCTAGTTACTGTTGCTAAGCCGTGATTGGACAACTGCTAATTGAGGGAAATGTTTAGTGAACAGTTAATGACATGTGAAATGTACATTTTTGCAGCACAGGAACACAGATACAGAAAACTATGAGATACACACAGTGTCATGTAGCGCATCAACTCATCGGCCTTAGAGTGAGTTAGAGGGGCTCTACTGCACGGGGGTTTATGTGGGGTTTAGTATGCCTTACGTTGACTTTCTTTGTAAACAAGGGACGTTCTGCGCACTAGTGACGGCTCGGTGTTGTGCCTCGGTGGTGGGGGAGGGGGGACCTGTGTTGGGCGAACACCGGTCGCATCGGTTAGAAAGGGGTCACAGGTTGTTTAGGGTGTGGGTTAAAATACTGTTTAGGCACTTTAAAGGAGAGAGAGAGGCCTGCAAACGTCAGGGAGGTTAATGGGTTTTTGAGGTATCCAGGTAGATGACTCATCATTAGAGAGGTAAGGGGGGTGAGGGTTTTTCCTCTACTGGTTTTGCCTAGAACTGACTAACCTCTCTCATCGTTAAAAGGTGAGATGGTCAATTGGCCATATGAAGTTAAGGCTGAGTATCAACTTTCACATACTTTGGGTGTCCATCCGTGAGAAGATATCCCAGTGAAATGCAATTATGTTTGCTACTAAATCAAACCACTCATGTAGTATATGTGAAAATCATTGTCAGTGTTTGTCATATGGCATAAAAAGGAGGTTATTAAAGTTATTATGAAACAATTATATCATTACTCATGCATTAATTGTCTCCTAAACACACTTTATGTGCTCCGAACACAGACAGTGCAACACACTGATCTCAAAAATAAAATAGATTATAGAATAAAACACACAAACAAAAAGGGACAAAAGGACACACACATACACCCATGCCTACAACCACGCACCCACACGGGGGCATGCAGCCACACACATAGGCCGATTGATATGAAACACACACACCCACCCACACAGACGCACGCACACATCCCTCTCATCTCCATAATTACTGTATAGTCAGCATGTCCGTGTCTGGGGGTGACTCTCAAAGTGAGATGTTGACAACAGTAGAGCTGAACTCAAGCTGGGTCCTGTCAAAGGCCTGACACTGATAGCATTATCCGTGTAATTATTCACAGTTAAGTGAACTGCCTACTTACTTTTAACATAATGGATTTGGATGAGTAAGCCATGTCTATACTGCCCTCTCATTTCATAACTTATGACGTCCGCAACCCACAGGAAATATGCGTTCCAATTTGTCTTAATTAGTTTAAATACAGCCTATCTATTATTTGTGGCTGGGCTTTCATTTCTTTTACATTTGGGCATAATCTCAAAGCGCACCTGAGCTCCTCTGAGGCACATTAGCATGCTGCAGCGCAACTGTTAAGAACCACAGACTTCTAATATATGGCTCATGCCTTTGCAAGCAGCCTGCCATTTTTCTTCTCTTCCATAAAATATTTGCTTGGCATTAATGAACGGGGAGCTGGCCAGAGCTTCTGAAAATCTTGATCAAGACGTTGAGCAAATGAGGAGTGAAGGGAAAGGCCGCCGGTCTGGCATTGGGAAATGGCAGCGTGCTTACGTGCGAGTGTGTGTGTACAGTATGCGTGTGGCTTCCCGGCGTGGGGAATATGAGAGATGTCAGGCTGGCCTCTGTTCCTCTTCTGGCAGTGTAAATTAGATGTGAACCAGCATGCCGCCGATGCCAGGGGAAAGTACACCTATCAAGGTTGACTAACTCATCATGGCTCTACGCACTAAAGCTCAGCAGATGAGGGGAGTGCGAGCATGTGCGCGTGTGTTTAAATCTTAATGAAACTGGCCCTCTGAAGGTCAGTACAGAGCATGCAGGGACTCTTTCGTCTGCTGCTAATGGTGTATTAATGATTCAAAGAAGTCTCATGCTCACAGGTGCCCACCCAAGCACCCCGCTGACACACACTCAGACACACGCCTAACCACCCACACAGACACACACACAAACATGAAAAAACACTGTACAGTACATAGACAAATAATCCAATTAAACAGACAGATTAACCAGTGTGACACAGGCATAGACAAAGCTCTTGAGTGTATAGGCACATGTGTTGTTGTTTTTTTTTCAGCAATGCATTATGGTGAGGTGATTTGTTAAGAGTGAGAAATTGTTTCACAGGTCTTAAATTGCAGAATTTGGATTTCATTAACCGGCAATGATTGATTATCCCTCAGCTAACAGCTCATGTGATCAGTTTTGACAAGTATTTAATAAGGCACCAAGCACAAGTGAGAATGAATTAACTTCAGGCCAATTAAAGCGGGTATAAAAAGATATTTGCAGTAAGAAAGCTGGAATAAAATGTGCCTCTCAAGTTATATTCATGAGGTAGCTACTGTTCAGTTCTCTACGGATGAGATAAGTACAAGTTCCCTTGTTAGAGCAAACAATGTTTTTTTTTTATTTCTAAAGCAGCAAGTTCACTAGAAAAAAGATACCGTAATTAATACAATCACTTTGAAATGTACCTGATGCTGTATATTACTGTGATCTTTACTTTGAACTGTAATCATCTGAGAGCTGCATATCACTATAATGCTGATAATATTTACCAAGCATTGACCACTTTTTGTGAAGCATACTACTGCAATTTTGATCTGCGCAGAGGTCAGCATTTGCCTTCCAGTATCAGCTATTCAGTGTTAAAGGGGTGGGGTTTTAGGGTTGTGACAAAGTGGGGGAGGGGGTAGAGGTGCATAGGTACAGCGGGTTCCCATCCCGCGTTTGGGCAATGGTCTTACCTTGAATGTGGACATGGCTGGGTCCCTGCTATACCTGTCTATGGTGTGGAACTTGGACGAGTGGTTGAGCTCATGGTACAACTCAGAATGTCTTTTGCGAGTGTGCATCACTTTCTGGAAGGGAAGAAAGGAAGGGACAGCAAAAATGAACCAAATAGAAACAAAAAAAAAAAGCCAAAGGAAGGAGGAGGGGGCCAATATAGGGGCAGGCAGGGGAACAAGAATGGGTAAAAGGCTGAGGGACTGCAGTGATGCCAGCCATGAAAAAGGTGTTAGAGAGGGACGCGGACAGATCGATCGATTGCTGGCTCATGCTCATACATCATCCACTTCCTGAGTCTTTAAGAATTTAGAAACTTGGAGTGCTGCAGAGCAGTCCTTGAAGTGAAAATTTGGTGAAAATGACTGACAGAAATGCCATTGTTACAGACTGGAGCCTGCTAGCGGGTGGTCCTGTTAAGGATTGTGTCTAACTCATTAAACATCTAACAGATGGACTGGAATTTAACTTTTGCCCTTGTGAAAGGATATCGACAAAAACTGCCTACCCCGTGTTCGGAATACGTCTGTCTAGAAGGCAGCTAAATTCAGATCTTTAATTTTCTGACAACAAACTGCATTTGTCAGTGCCACTGCTGTTGTCTCTCTGTGCTAATGGGCAGTTCTGGAGCTGCTCGGCAGTAGCTAATCGTCAAAGCAGCTTGCGAGGTTGAAAGTGACACAGGGGCAAGATGCCAGCGCACACACCCGCACACTTACCGGCCAGGACTGGCGCTTAGCACTGGCTCCAATTACTTCAGAGTGGGCACTCTCATCTCTGCTCAGCTAGAAAGGTGCTACTAGTTCCTTGCTTCGTGTCTTTTTGCTGCTATGGCTTTAGGTTTCCTTTTTAATTTTTGGCAGATCCTTGTCTGAGTCATATGGTTTTAGGTGCTCATGAAAGTCCAATAAATCCTGTATAAATATGACCTGGAAGTGATACATAACCTTCAAAATAAACAACACTTATTTACAGGGGAACTCCAATGATTTTACACTTAAAGTTCAGTTTACTTACCACGAGAAGCACAGTACCATTTGTATAATGTCTTCTGTGGTTTCCAAAGTTTGAATAAATAACCTTGACGATATTCTCAGGGTTATCTCAGCTTGGACTACTGACTTAAAATTCATAACAGAAAGCCTGGGTGCATCAGATGCGGTGTTTAAATGAAATGGACATTTAAGAGTCAGGGGGCAGCATAATAAAGGATGCTACTGGGTTGCATTTTGGGAAATGTAAGATCCAGCATTTTTGGAGCTGGGACCTAAAACTCAGAATATCACAGTTTGGCTCTTTGTTTTTTTAAATGTGTCTCTTGCAAGTCGCCCAACTTTAAGTGGTATACTAAATCAATGGAGAACTCCTTTAAGTTTTCAGAAGTATTATTTCCCCTAAAAGGCTATATTCTTAATTAAGTTTGCTTGTATAAAGTTAATTCTTGACAGTCTAAAAGGTTGGGCAAACTCAATTAAAGTAAAAAAAAAAAATAAATAAAAAAAAACATGAATAAAAATGGGGTTACCTTCCATTAAATCATGGAAGTGTACACTTCCCTATTGTAGTGGTTCTCCTACGAAAAGTTCTTTCTCAAAAGTCAATAGTCATTTTTAATGAAAAGAGTTTATTTCTCCTTGTACTAAATTCATGCAGCGGCCACAAATGACTCCCCAGTAAATTAAGTAAAACAATCAGCCATAGTCACTGTTAGTAGCTTGTCATCACACATACCCTCTGTATAAAAGATATATCTCCGTGGCGGAGGGTGAATGTCCAGTCTTTGCAACAGTCTAAATGAAACTGAATTCTCACCAAAAAGCAGAGGTAGGTACTGTATTTGATTTACTCGCTAGAGACTGGAGATTCACAGGACACAGGTCATTCTGACACATACATACTCACGCACTGCCAAACCATCGTTCCAACAGATATAACCAGCCAATCGACTATGGCCACATACGTGTTGACCCAGAACTCAATTACTTGTACTCACTCAGACACAAGAAGCACACTACTTTGCTGTTTCTTCAACCAGGACCCCCAAGCTGACATGACAGCATTATTTGATTCACTTGTACATGTCAGTGGGATGTTTTTGTTCCCCCCATGATGCTACGATTGATTGACACTCAGATCAATTCATTAAGACAGATAAGAAATATGGAAAGGTTTAAGGCCATTGTTGGAGAAACAGCATACTACGTAAGGTAGGTCTGAAACAGTTCATAGTTCTAAATGCAAGGGAGAAACAGGTGCGAAGGGAGGGGTTTAGCAATGCGTTTTGCTTCTCTATTCGTTACTCAAGTCCTGGCAGAAGCACAAGAAAGCAGAGACAGGCTGATGACAGGGGGCGAGGCCCGAGATCTTACCTCGAAGTCCAGCTCAGAGTACCGTACTCTTTTCCTCTGGAAGAGGAGGGGGCAGGGGGAGAGAAGAAAGTGTCAATGACCACCCCTCGACCTCTATTGAACTTTACACTGCTCTATCTCAATTCATCCGCGGATCGCTCAGCGCCATTGTTCAGTAACAAGAGGAGGACTAATATGCAGTAGGTGCCCAACATGATACAGATAGTCTTACAAATGTCAAGGCAGAAAGAAAATTATTCAGTCTATTTCAACGTAATGAGATTAGTGAAGTGGAATAACCCAGAATTAGAATGAAATAATAATTTCTCGGCTCACATACTCTCAAATACAATCATTACACCCCCCAACATAAATCACCCTTGTTGCTATTTTTGGAGAATTTGTTGGAGACATTCTGATTAAAAGAGCTGCAACAAACATATGAGAGATGGTTTTCGTCCTCTAATCTTGTTTGGACCCCACCACTCTCCTCTTAAGTGCCTCCATAGCTTTAGTGAGTGGCACACAAGCCGCCAATTTAACAGCTGCAGACATTTCCAACTCATCTGGCCCTGACATTGCGTTGCATTACATTCCATCTCTGACTTCCTATCTGGCTCTCGCTGTCTGCCAGAGATTTGCATTTGGCAGTGAGAGGAGCTGCTCTCCACAGTTAGTTAAAAGCTGTATTCATTCTTTGAAAGGGCAGAGTTGCTGATCTGATGCTCTGGCAGCCAAGGTTTTAAAAGGTAAAGAAATGCAAACAGATAGAAAGGCAAGTTTGTCCTATGAACTTCACTGCCTCTATAACACAATGGAAGTACTGCCCTTATATAGAGAAATCCTTACCTTAAACAGAGAAATTCCGTGATTGAGTTTGCTTTGTAATATGGTAGACATGCAACATGCATATACGTGTACAGTATATTGCATGTTTTGGTGGGGACACACACAAAGCAGTCATTAACTCACTCATACAAAATTCATAGGTAATCTTTCGCTGCTCTGATTTTCTATTATGATGGTATGATAGTCCTATTATAGCCAACCACAGTCACACACTAGTTTTTTATTGGTTTGCATGTATTCAAGGTAGGGATGTCACGACAACCGATACCTCGGTATCAAGTTGATACCAAAATTCAGAGAACTGGTACTAATTTTTCCATCGGTTCCGAGGATGCAATACTCCCAGACCTGATGGGGCAGCATATACGCCTACATGTAATCTAGTCGGCCATTAAATACCACATGTTGAAGACGGCGACAAGTGCAGCTTTACAGGTGATTTACTGATGAAACTTTTGTGCACATTGCTCCGTCGTCAACTCTCTCTGCTGTCTGTATCTCTGTCGCTGTGCTATGCGTGTGTGTGTGTGCAGGACCTCAACCCGAGCTGAGTTGCTGGTGAGAGGCGAGACAAAGAGAGGTGGAGACCTGCACACTCACCACGCCACTGCAAGTGCAAAAAGCAAATAACAGTAATTTATTAATGTAATCCCTGCAAAAGAGGTACAGACGAGCAACAAACACTGCAGGAGACTTTGGGAGATTACAGAGAGAGTTTGTTAGGCTATTTAAAGGCCTACTTTGTTTATTAGTTATTTAGTATTTTTTATATATATATACATATATAATAGGTTATATTAATATTAATATGAATATATTATGTATAAAAACATTAAGGAACAGCTTGGTTGCAGGCAGTCTTTTTCTTAATGCAATGCAGAGCTATTTATCCGTATTATTAGGGAGGTATTGGATCAGCTGAAACTTAATATCATTAGGAAGTGTTTACCGTGGTATCAAGTTGGTATCGAGAATCGTGGAATTTCATCCAGTATTGGTATCGACTACTACTTCAATTTCTGGTATCGTGACACCCCTAATTCAAGGTAGTGAATTGTACGATAATCTGACCTTCATAGCCAACAGTCTGTTGCAAGGAGACACTAATTTATATTTCAATACTCCCTCCACTGGTTTCTATAGCACAGTGCTAGCATAAAATGCCCCATGAACCTTTCTCACGCCTTGACTAGATCATTTAGAGTTTAAATTTAAAGGCTTCTAACTAAAAATCAACACTGTGAGTACGTTTGCGTGATCCCTCCATTATGCGTCACCATATTTGAATTGGGGAGTAAAACACTGCTGTGATTTAATCTTGAGAGGCACGCTCTGATATCCATCTCCAAATCAAGCATATTCAAACAGGGTGAAATTACAGCAGTAAATTACATCCAGTAGGTTTCTCAGCCGATTTTTTTTTTTTTTCTTTTTTTTGGTATTCATGAGTGCACTCGTAGCTCTTATGACAGTGATTTTTTATGAGTTTTAATGACTCGTCCTTAACGTCCTCAGCCCTAAATGAAGCATCTGCACTTTTCGGTGAAAGTGTCGTTTCCATCTCTTTAATCAACCTTGTGAGTCAGCAAGATGCCATTGGGGGAAGATCCAACACGTGCGCGTATGTGTGTTTGTGTCCATGTTATCGTGGGCTTGTTTTTGTGTGTATGTTTGTCAGTGTGTGTGTGTGTGTGTGTGTGTGTGTGTGTGTGTGTGTGTGTGTGTGTGTCTAAAATTAAGGTGGGCTGAAAGACATTCACCAGGGGTATTTCCTCTGATCCTGTCTGTCTCAGTCCATCTGCTGCACCACCTTGTATGGTAAGGAGGGGGTAACACACACACATTACACACACAACGGAAGCGAAGAAGAAGCTGTCTGTCTAAGAGAGTAACTCATTTCAACGCTCATTGTCTCAGCCAGCAGCAGTAAATAGTACTCAGCCGAAAATAATAGCAGTTGTTATAGTAGACTTGTTCTAAGACACACAACTGTGCTATTATAGAAGTTTGTTGGACATGTTGTTATTGTATATCACACACAATATGTATATATGTATATTAGAAATGGCTTAAATTGTTTGAAGCCCACACTACTGATTATATTGATATTAGTCATACAAACAGATTCTCTTCTTCCAATATTCTACTATAGCCATAAATATTCATGACAAAAATTCATTTAGTGTAGTATAGTCTTATTTTCTTAAGGTAAAAAGAAATGTTGATTGGATAAAATAGTTTTTTATCCAGTGCAACAGATTTTTCTTGAACTAAGTGACACTTCTTTAGATGCAAATTGTTTTATTTGCATTCTTCTTGTTTAAAACACTGGAAAGTGTTTTAAATACTTAGAGCATATAGCGAATAGACAGAATGTCACATTCCTTTTTCTGAAAAGAACTTTCCTTCCCCTTGCTTTCTTTCTCTCCTCTTTGTCATTCAACCACCACAACTTCACATATATAGCCACATCGTCACCACCACCACATCCATAAACCTCAAGTGTGTGCCCAAGTGAAAGGTGGACATAGTGAAGAAGCTACACCACCACCACCGGGAAACCCCTCCTTCCCTCATCCTTCAACCTCTTACCCACCTCCAGGGATCCTGCAGAGAGGCTGGTGTTGGCATTGGTGCTGCCCAGATTGCGTGGCAGGGTCCTGGTTCTCTCCACTGTGGTTCCCCCTGTCAGAATCTGTCTGACTGATGGCCTCTGGCCCGGCTTCAGCTGGAGCGAATGCCCGTGGGTGTGCATGTGTCCTCCGTGGGAGTGTACAAGACCACCCTGAGCCATCATGTGGCCGTGCCCGTGGGGCATGGTTTTGATCGTCCCATAGGAGCGGTTGAGGTTCATGGTGATGTTCATGTCGCCCACACTGGACGGCACAAAATCCGCTGGGTAGGCCTCGCTCTCAGCTGGGTGGAGGGTCAGGGGAGAGGGAGGCGGGGGGAAAGGAGGATCCTCCACTGCGATGTTGAGAGGCTTGTCCTCACCCCCCAGTCCCAGGCCTCCTCCTTGGGAGGAGGGCACTGGAGGTTTGAGACTCACCGTCCTACGAGGTAAGACCATGTAGTCTCCCTCCCCTCCTCCGCCACTTCCTCCTCCCCCTCCTCCTCCGCTTCCCCCGCTTCCGGCACTTCCGTCCTGGGAGGTGTTGGAGGAAGTGGGCGGTCGAGCCCAGCCCAGGCCACTCTCGGTGCACAGGTAGATTGGAGCGCCGCTCCGTTGCTGCCCCTGCTGTCTCTGCTGATCCACGTTCACCTCCTTCTTCAGGGGTGTCTCGCTCAGCTCATTGAGGCCACCGAGGGGTGGAATCTTGTGGAAAAATCAGGGGCAATAATATCCTGATATTAGGGACCTTTTCTCTTTCACCTTCTATGTCAACCAGATTTCAAACTTTAAACATCAAACTTTTATACATTATCTGTCAAATAAGTCTGATGGTAAAAATAGGATATGCTGGATATGAAAAGGAAGCACAGGGCTGCATTGCTGTCAATCTTGAGAATACCATTGGGTGCTGACATTTTCAATTCCTACTTATGTGGCTTTAAGGGGATAATATAGTTATATTAAGCTACATTTTTTAAGTTTTTGACAGAAAAGTTGAGCAGGGCACTGGTCATCCAATATGTCATGCAATGTAAACTTCAAACCTGTACCTGTACAATGAGGTTTGGAGGGGGAATGTTCCCGGGGAGGGAGCTGAAGTTCACCCCGACTCCTCCCTCCTGATGGGCTGCCAGCTTGGGATCGTCCTCGTCATCCAGGGAGATGCGGGAAAGGGTCCCGGTGATGGTGGCCGGGTTGCAGGTGTTCACCTCCTTGAATATGACTGGAGGGAGATGCGGGGGAGACAAGGGAAGCCGTGGAGCCAGCAAGAGAGTGGGGTGATAGGCAGAAGTTAGGGTAGTTGGTGAAAGCAAGAAAAGAAGCAAAAGGAGGAGGAACATTCAGAGAGAGCATGAGGAATGAACATTGAATGGAAAGGAATTGATATAGTTTATGCAAGTTGAGAGGTAGGCAAAACAGAAACAAGACATAAATTAGGAAGTGATGGAAAGTTCTTTTTTGCAGTCTTCATGTAGCTGTGAGACAGATTGCATCTCCAAAGAAAAGTTTCACTTCTCATTTTGGGCTTACATGGTTCACAGTAACTAAGTTTTGTCTCTGACACTGTGACCTTAAGTCTCGCTCCATCTCAAGATTTGCCGGTGAGCCAGGATTTTTATTAGCTTGCAGAAAGAGCCTCAGTGCAAAATGCTGTGTGCTTCAAATGAAATGGAGCCAAATTTCCTCGCTACTGAGGCCTGTCCCATATCTTGCTCACCAGCTTATTACTCCCTGCCCTGTTGTCGCATTTAAGTGTGAGTCTCTGTGAGTTTGTGCTTTAATGCATGTGTGTCAATGTGTATTTCCATATGAGTGTCTTTTTTTATTTCATAAAACAGAACATAAAACTACTTACAGCGGCTTTGTGTTAGCTTTCATGCATGTTGTTGAGGAACAAACTACATATACTACGCACTTCTAGAATAGCTACTCCAAAATTAACTATGACATGCTGATGAGAGACGATGTTTAATCACAGCAAACATCAATCTATCATCACAATCAAACACAACTAAAACCATCTGGAAGATCATGCTAGATATCATGCTCATTCTGTCACCATCAGAGGAAAGAATATTTACTCTGGCCTCAAAATCCAATTCCAGACCAAGGCATGTAGCACAGACCATTTTCATGTTCACTGCATTGATGTGACAAAATGTTAAGCTACACATTTTCTAAAAAAATTTAAGCTGAATCCTGCTGAATATACCAGCAAGGACAATTGCTGTAAAGAACCTTGGATTTTCTCTGTTTTACCGCCCCGTTGGTGCAAAGTGAAAGGACTGGACAGGTGTTTGGGAAGTCTCACCAGTCTCGGATCCCTTCTCATCTGCATCCAACAGTGGAGACCCAGAGAATGACCGCTAGATGAATCTGGTTGTAGTTTTATGTGTTGCGCTCTCAAGCACCACCACCATTACTGCAGTAGCAAAGTTCAAGTGAACACATTTACAATGAAAGTAGAGATATTTGAGTTAATCACGGCCGGCAATCTCCACTGCGGACAGATGAAGGCAGTCTGTGTGAATGTGAAAGTTATTCAGTCTCAAAGCACTAGTCAGAAATTAATTATTACACAGCCTTTGGGGGGAAAAAATTAATGTACCGCTCCCGGCCGTCCTCCACAGTGTGGATGTCAAAGTGCTGTGTGGGATAGCGCTAGCTTAAATCCAGAAGGAATTACTTGTTAGCTTATAATTTAAATAATCAAACCCCACGATTTTGTGCATGGTGGGCTCACCATTGGCCCCATGCGGGTGGATCACTGATCAAAACACACATTTAATTGAGATTTATAAAAGTAAAATTGATTTCTTGAGGTATTTAATTCCCTTTGTTTTCACGGTTTAGGTTTATTATAGTTATGATTATTATAATGTCTAGCAATTTGTAAAAACTGGACTAAATGTAATTAAAAAGTTAAAAGTCTTTAGACTGTAACCTTTATTCTAATGGCATTGATGATTATATTTTCAATATGTATTAAGTTCTATAGAATTTCTTGGACAGACTGCGCTTAAAAAGTTCAATCATTGACTTACATTAAAGTGTTATATGCAAGTTTGCAAGTGAAGTGCCACTGCAGCAATGGCTGCTTGTTTACGTCCACCTACAACCCGGATTCATTTATAAAAATGATATAAGTCTAGGGATAGACCAGGCAGTGTTAAGAAGGTCAGATGGGTGCAAAACTTACATGGGTGTCCTCTCTCTGCAAGGGTGGAGGGGGAAAGTGACTGTGTTAATATTTAAAAGCACAACACAAACCAGATTGTGGTACATTTGCAACACATCCAAACACCCACACACAGACACACACAAGACCATTATCACCATCGAGTGAAAACAGGTCTGAACATATTGAGGAGTGTTATTATCATGCACAATTAAACGCAGTCTCATCCAAACATATGCTCGCTGAACACTTGGGCAGAACCAGTGTGATTGATAAGGCATAATAATTTGCGTGCAACTGTGTCGAGATGTAGCACATCATCTCCTGTCGTTTTATCAACATGCACAGCGGCAAGCTGAGGCTGTTACAGCTCTCCATTGCTTCTGTGCAATGCTAATCCTCTGTTGGAAAAAAAAGGAGGAGACAAAGGGAGAAAGGGAAAGAGAAAGAGAAATTAGGTGGAAGGGAGAGCTCACCTGTTTGACATGCCAAGTCCACATCCTTCTCAAAATCCGTCTGAGAGATGGAGGCAGGGAAGGAAGAGAGGAAAAACAGTGAGTGCGTACAAGTCACTACATTTACCGCATTAGTAAAGGCCTGATGATTGATTGTATCTTGAATGGTTATGCTATATTCAATGAATCTGATGCTCTAATTTGACTCTAGTGAAAAGAATATGATCTGTTGCCATGGGGACACTTTACAACTCTGTCAGTTAGTAATGCCCCTCTATGAACAAGAAGAGAAAATGTTGCCTGAAGTCATACAAGAATGTTCAGTTTTCATTTCTTCATAGTGAATTTGTTCAAAGCCTTTTCAAACCAAAAGCAACAGAGAAAATGGTGAAAATTCTGTGTGATTGCATGAATTCTTGCTACTTTAGTTCGTGATGTGTATCGGTTCTCGGCAGCACATCCAAATACAGTTTTTGAAAGAGGAGTCTTTCCAGGTATGTAATGCCACCGTATGCCTCATCAGTCACCTCAGCTATCGTCTGCGTGGAAACAATGACAAAAATTTACACAGCAGCAAAACTATTATCTGCTGTGCCAGCTGAAGCAAAACTTTGCTGTCTTCTAGCTGAGTCTGAAACACTGACTACACTGACAAGAAAATGTATAATGTGAGAATACATAATGCTTCTGTTCAAATCTGTTCACACAAGTGACCAAAAACACAGACATCCACACATCACTGAGATTAACCTGAACTATTCAGATTTTATGTAGATAAGAGGTATTTTGTCACAACAAAACAACAAAAAAATTGTGTTTATTTGCTTTGAACCAGAATTTACTTGATGATGCAGGGTGACACTGACTCCTTTGGGTCAAAGAAAAACTCTCAAACCCTTAGGGCTGTGGGTAGAATAAAGAAGTGTTGTTTCCAAAATGGCCACCACTCAAGTTTCCTAAACTTTAGTGAAAGTGAAGCTCATTGTTATGCAGTCGTGGTCCTCCCCTTCTCTCACGATAGAGCCTCCTCCTGTCCTCAGCGGGATTTACTTACAAAAGCCTTTGTTTGGATAATAAACTACAGATTTTAGACAGTTTGGGCACACCACAGAGGCAAAGAGAAGAGGAAGAGGGGGGGAGGAATGAAAAACTGAAAGAGAGGAGAGAATGTGTAAAGGTCTCCGAGGAGAGGAAAAGCTCTTAGTACGCAAATCACCCGCAGCACCATAAATGGGTCTCTTCTAAATGGACAAATGCGGATATGAAAGAAACCTCTCTCTCTGTCTCTCAGTCTCTCTCTCCCATCCAAATTGAGAAAAACAAATCTTCATTTCAACTACACCACACTTTCTCTGCAACAGCCTCACAGGTTAAGTACAGTGAGTCATCAACGTCAATGAGAACACAGTCCCATTCCCGAGTAAACATCCTGTAGCATACAGCTCTCTGGGGGAGGTTACTACTGAAGGGAATGCAACAGAAACCATCATCTCCGATCAATTCAAAATGCGTGAAGACATACTATAAATACATTTTTTGCCTACCTTGCTACAGTAAAAGTCGTAGTTAATATTCCTACTTAGATTTAAAGGTGCAATATGTAATAAGAACAAAACTGAGTTTGATGCAATGATGACTTTTCTTGGTTAAAGGACTAGTTTGATAGTTCAAGAAGTACATGTATTTGCTTTCTTGCAGAGAGTTAGATGAGAAGATTGTTATTGCTCTGATTTCTGAATGCTAAATATACTACCCACAGTGGATTAGCTTAGCTTAGCACGAGGACTAGGAACAGGGGGAAACAGCTAGCCTGGGTTTGCCCCCCTGTAATATATTATGCCTACCATCATCTCTAACCTCACTAATAAGTGCGTTATATCTTGTTTAATTCATATAAAATCCAAAGCGTCTAAATGACATATTGGGATTTTAAAAGGGGGTTATGTGTGGGAATATTTCTTGGAAGGAAGCAGTGTCTGAAGTCATGGCAACCCTATGAAGTCTCCAAAAAGTCACTGTGCCTGGCCAAGAAATAGTCCAGTACATAACCTCCTGTGAAACCACAATGTGACACATTTACAATTTTGAGACAGATTAACAAGATATAACCCGGTAATAACTGAGCATAAGAACTGTTTCCGGCCTTTGTTCTGAGCTAAGCTCACTAGTTGCTGGGTGTAGCTTCAAATTTAGCATGAGGACATAAAAGTGGTATTGAACTTCTTATCCAGCTCTTGGCAACAAAACAAATAAGTGTATCTCTCAAAATGTCAAACTGCTCCTTTAATACTCATTTATGTTTATTGCAAAATATTGTTTTACAGATTGCACCTTTCTCCATCTATGGACCTGACTATTCATAGTGACTAATAGTGTCTTTTCTACAGGTGACATACTGGTTGGCTGCCGATGTGGTTGTGGGCGTGGTTATGGTTATGAGCGTGGTTGTGGGTATTGTTCAGGATGGGGCTATGCTCATGCGCGTGGCTGAGGGCGTGGCTGTGCTCTAGCCCGTGGTTGTGGTTGTGGTTGCTGTGGGGCAGACTGTGGTAACAGGCTTGCTGGCATGCCTGGTGGCACATCGGTGGGAGCGGCTGCGGGTGGCCACCCGGCAGACACAGAACTGTGCCGTAACGCAGAGAGCCACACTGCTGCCCGCATTGGCTCACATTTGGACACTTCTGATGGTATAAAAAGATTAATGGAAAACATGAAGTTGAAAAGTTAGAGGGGGAATAATAACCAGTTTTGTAGAGGACAGCACTGAGCTTTAATCAGATATTAACTAATCAAATGAGTTTGTAAAGCTTCTAAAGCTAAATTGTAACAAGAAGATGTAGTAGTACAGTTCTACATCTTTATGATGTCTCTAAATGTCAGGGGTTTAACTTCCTAATCAGATTTCCTGTGTAATATAGAAAGAACACCTGAGAGGATGGTGCTCACTGTAATTATGCTGCTGATATAACTGGTGGCAGCTTCACCAAATTATCCATCACAATTAATGTTCTCAAGGGCATTTCATACAACAGCTCTCCATGCATATGTGTTGTCTAAGAAGATTTCTTCAAAGTCATACACATTTAGAGAAAACTTTAAAAGATTTACCAGCTGTTTTCCTTAATAGAACAACAGTTGGCATAGCAACAAGCCCTCATTGCGAGTTGTGTGCAAGATAACAACACATTTAAACAAAAAAATTTAAAAAAGCACAGTTAGACTGTAAATGTTTCTCTCGGTTATGAAAACAGAGACAGAGAATGTGTCATAATGGGTTCCCTGAGCAGAATGATGGCTCCAAAGTTTAATCTTGATAACCTCAGAGGGGCGTTCAGAAAGCCATAATCGTTACCGCAAACAGGTCTGAGGGAGAAATAAAGGGAATAGCGCTGTGAGAGTCGCTCATACTCTCATAGTGCCAGTGTGACCGCACTGACATTGGCAAGGCAGTTCAAGTCTATATGATTTATCACACTATTAGCCACATTTGGAACATATACAATAACCTTAAGGGAGCTCTGTGCTCTTTAAATAAAGATTAAGAAGTTTAGGTAAAAAGTAAAAAAAGTGCTGAAGTGCCTGTTTTGGTAATACATGAAACGCCATGGACAGTATAAATCTTTCTACCTTAAAGTAAGTACAAACAACGACAATGTCAAAAATGAACAAAATAAAACATTTGTGGACAATAAAATGCAAAATGCAGGATGCATAAACAATAATGAATTCCTGTTCAGGAAGAATGGTTAAGGAAAGTTTGAGCACTTCAATAATGGTAGTCATGCGTCTTGCTATTTTAGTTGCAGATTCTAGAAAGCTCCAGCCTGGTTAATGTTAGTCCGAGGCTAATGGGCTGCAATGTGGGATGAAATGGAATGCTATTCACCATGATCTGCACCTGTCCATTCTTGCAGGAGTCTGGTGAGTTTTCGCTGTCGTCTTTACATCCCCCCATCCTACAGCGCACTGCATCCTGCACCTGAAGATGGGGAATAGGGGATGGGGGAGAGGAGGGATGAATATAGAGAGGAAAAGTAGGATGATGCAAAGGAAAGAAGTTAGTGGAGGAACTTTTACTTAAGTTAGTTTGGCAAATATTGGAGCATGGGGAACTCTCTCCTCAGACTTTTTATATTCTTCATCTTTATCACTGCAATGACAGATGTTCAGTGAATACTAAATTATGTGAAAGTGGCAGAGTAAACGCTATATTTTTCACAAAGTAGCTCAACTTGGAGCTTATATAACAGTGAGTGGAGTAATATAGAAAGCACACAGCACTTTTTCAAAGTGGCAAATCTGAGTCTTGTGAGATCAGTGGCGCATGGTCCTAATTAAAACCAGCAGCACCGCATATAGATGTTCTAACCCCTAGGCCTTTCCAGTGTCATATTGGTTTTCTTTATCCTCCCACATACGGCAGCTAAGCAAACACACAACAGCCCACTGTCAGAGCACTGGTTCTTGTAATGCAGCTCAAATCAAATGGATCCCTGTGTATTATGTTTCACAGCAAACTCTGAGATTTCTTCTCCCATCAGGCTCTGTATTATAGATAGCCTGGTTACTGGCTGAGGAGCAACATCATTTCTCAATGTTGCCGCCGTCAAATCCCATAAGAATCTCATGGGTGGATACAAGAGCGCTTGTGTAAGAAGCGGTGCAAGAGCGAATGAGAACATCTTCACTCTTGCTGGGTGGTCTTATCTGTGTGTGTGTGTGTGTGTGTTTGTGTGTGTGCTGCTACAAATGGAGTGGATTGGAGTAGTATCCATGTCTGGTTAATACTGCATGAGTTAGGGTATTGCCTCCATTGTTTCCTTTCGTCTGTCTGTTCTCTTTATGTCCATACTCATCCTCAGTGAAATTTGCGCTCCATTCTCTGTTAGTGTGAGTGTGAGTGTGTGTGTGTGTGTGTGTGTGTGTGTGTGTGTGTGTGTGTGTACTGGCACCCAATGCAGCTCATTCTGACTTCAAAGTGAAGAGCCCCTCTATGGGTCCATACCTCCCTCTCCACCTTCCTCTATATTTCCTCCTCCACTACTATCATCCCCTGCTTTGCTCTTGAATCACATTTTTTTCTCCCCACAGATCTCTGCATGCAATTTTTCTTCCAGCCTCCTTCCTCTGTACTCACTTAACTAAGTCCCTCCCTCATCCTTTCTCACAGTATACTTCTCCCTTGTTTTCCCTCTCCTGCTGCCTCCTAATCACAACACCTCTAACGGCGCACATGTTCATTCAGTCGCCTCTCCTTGACTGATCTCAGCAGGCCGCCTGAGCCACCGCCGTCCTTTCATTCCCCGCCGCACCTTACAAGCAGTGGGCGCTATCGAGGAGTGCTACACGGCACTGCGCTTGCCGGGACGTTTTGTATCTGCAGTTTGCTTTGCTTAATATCACACTTTGTGCTGCCTTCACCTTCATTTTGCACCGTAATGCTTCCTCATTCTCACCCTTGTTCCTCTCCTCTCCTCCCCGCTCCCTCCCCTCCCTCTGGTGTGGCACTCCCCTCTGCCTATTGTTCTGCAGCTAGAAGGATTTACGCTCAGTCTCTTGCAGGGGATTTTCATACATTTAAAATAAATAATTCCTGGATTTACTGTACCCTGATCCCTGCCGCTTTTGTGATATTGATTTAATGCAGCTAAGCATCCCAAGCGTTTAAAAATTCACTTACACTATGCAGTGCATTCAATATCATAATGATCTCTTGGATATAGGCATGGCTGTGTGGGGTACGTGTATCAGCAACAGAAGACACATTTACAGTTATGGAAAAGTGATGATATTGTAAATCCATTAATTCTAAATGATGCATTTGTTAGTGTGTGCGCATCTGTCCATTTGTGTGTGTAAATGTCTGTCTCAAGGGCATGAGTACATGTGTGTGCACAATGAGTTTGAAATTCAGCATCCCAGGGGGGGGAGAGCACAGCAAAGCCTGTTGCAAACAGGCACTAGGGGGTATTAGTTAGGGACTTATCATCTTATTCCATACAGAATCTTAGTAAGCTCTTTAAAGGAGCCTTGGATCAGACGGACAATACTGCACTATCAAACTACATTATAAAGAAGCGCTGCAACATAGGACATAAGTACCATGCTAATCCTCCTCGTGTCTGATCCGCTTGTGTTCTGCCGTGACTTCAAACTGACCCGGAAACTAATGTGACATTTGTGAACACGACTCCCACCTGTCGAAGGGAGTGAGTGTCGCTGAGGTCGCTGTGTGGCGCTGAATTACAAATGCATGAAGTCAACATGGCCGCACGGCTGTTTAGCAGGAGGAAGAAGCTGGACTCACCTCTCGACGCATTGCACAGTGGACGGTAATGATGACAAAACCTTGGACAGAGTCAAAGACGGCAAAGAGCACCTAGGGGAGACGAGAAACATTGTCTTTATTGCACATTGTTATATTGGTTCTCAAACATTTTTAAATCATGGCACCCATTCCTAGTGATTTCCCAGCCATCCCTCATATGTAACAAACACACCACTTTCCTATACACATGCCATTATAGTATTATATTAATATAGTCCTATTCTCAATAAAAAAAATAATCTGTTAGATGTTTCTGTGCAGATTTGCTGAATACCACACTTAAATGCATTTAAATGTAATGTATGTCTTTCTCTTTAAAAGTAAAATTACAATTTAGGTTATCAAGGACATTAACACACACATGACAACATGGATTTATTCTGTTTTTCAGTTACCTGTCTTAGTTGCATAAAGTATTGAGAATGTTTGCTGACTAAAGAATGCTGTTTTCTCTCAAGATCTTTACCGAGGTTACACATTTGACAGTTTGTACCTGTACAAGAGGCATTCTAGCGTGGGACGGCTCCTCACCACAAAAAAGCCAGAAGCTTACGGCTGCTTCCATTGCACAGACTGATTTTAGTTATTTTGGCTGGAGGGTTCAGTTGTGTAAAACTGTGTGGAGGGCTAAGATGTGTCAGCATCTCTTTGAGCTCTATTTACAGTGACAAATATTTCCATCAGTCTGGGTTTCTGACCCGGAAAAACTCACAAGTCACAAAACATGTTGAATTACCATGAACACCAGCGACCATGAGCTATCATCGCCATTCTTGTGGTGTAGTGTGGTACAATTGCAAATTTAAGCATTTAGTGTTTTGATATGATGATTAATTTTTCTATTTTGATCCTTTTGAAACAATTGAAAGGTGAAAAATGCTCAGTAAAAAGGATAAAAAGAGACACTCTTTAAGGCACCCCAGGGTGCTGTAGCACACGCTGCTTTATTATATCTTGTATTACGCTTGTAATACTGTAGTGAAATGAGTCAGTTATCATTAGAGAAACACTGATATGAAAGGAAATGAGTCAGCCAAGTCAGGTTTATTCATAATAAATCACCACAGCCGCTCACTTTCATTCATAGACAGTATTTTTACCCAGAATCCACAGTGCATACTACATTATTCCTCAAGATTTTTTTTTTTATGTTTATTATATAGTCTTCTTTGCCCTATTCTCTATTTGAACATGGTATCAGTCAGGTTAATCTTTTTTCTTTGAGACCAAATGTGATACAATGTCAAGAATAGAGGCTCCCTGAACTTTGCAGAAGACACTTTTTACATCAGAGTTTGCACTTTTTAGATTCAGTGACTAAAATTTCAATATGACCAGGTCATAACACCCAAACCATTAACCATTTTCACAACGCCATAGGATGCGTCGTCATATTTGCCAGCATGGATGAGTCTATCTCTGCCATGCACCATTTTAAAACTGCCTTTCCGTGGTGCATCGCAAGTGTGTGTATGTGTGCGAGTTACAGTATCTGAGTTTCTTGCCAGTGTTGTGAGATACATCACCTGGAAGAGTGTGGAGCGCCGGTCGGTTATGGCCAGCACTGCTGACATCCAGGTTAATGCTAACAAAGGAAGAACCACACAGGAGCTCCACAGAGAGGCCCTGTCAGAGACAGAAAAAGTGAGGCAGAGGCGGGGAGGGGTAGAGCAGGGGAAAGAAGGAGAAGGAACAAGGGATTCAGTCTCAAACCAAACCAGCCAGCTCTGGTAAGTCACATAACTCCACATGTCAAACACACACACACACACACACACACACACACACACACACACACACACACACACAAAAACATGCAGATCAGTCATAGGTTCAATGGTGGGCAATTTGAAGCTGATTGGCATACTGAGGTTGGTATCAGACTTAATATTCTAACTGAGAGGTGGAAGATGATGTGTAATCATGTAGATAGTTATGAGACTGACAATTGCTCACAATTACATGGTTGATGCGCACTAAGTGCCATGCTGGTGGACTGTGTGAGACGATAGGCAGAGGGCCAACAAGGAGGGGGAAGACAGGCCATTGACAAGTTCTGACACTGGCGCTTCTGAGGAGTAAGTCTGTGTGCATCTGTAACTCTATGGAGTCAGACACCAATTTAAAATGTTCATGCTGTTTGAGCACATATTCATGGTTTTATGACCGTCAGTCTGACAGATGGACAGCTCTGTCTAGCTACGCTGAGAAATATGCACATCTCTTTAGAGATGCATGTCCAAAGGCAAACAATAAAAGAGAATATAGAGCAATAAAGCCAAAGCTGTGCTGTCCCCTTGTTATGTGTATAGTTTCCAGCTGTTGTGGAATGTGGTTTTAACCATACAATATGGTTCAGTACAGTTACAGTAAAGGCCTACATTCAATGTGAAAACACACACTCTAATACTGCAAGTGTACCTCATCATACATAATAAGTGTTTTTTAATGAGCTGTTATATTTCAAAGTGCTACAAAGTCATTTGGGAGAAAAGAAATGTGTGGAAAGCTGGGAATTGCTTTGTCACAATTTGCAAATGGTGGTTGTCTCATTCTCAAATTAAATTCCCAAGTAATACTGTAGTCTTTAAAGCTTTATCAAGACACTTATGTATAAATAGATCAGGCTTACTATATAATAATAATACTAAGGAGAAGGACGGAGTGTGAAGCAGCATTTGCTGTTTCAGTGCATAATACTGAAATTACATAAAACGGACTGTTTGATTATGGTTTTCCACTAGGATTTCTATTAGCAGATTATTTGAAGGACTTCCAACAAAATAGTATACTGCAAGCAGCAATAGCAAGTGTGGTAATGTGGTTATAAATGCCTATACCTAATAATAGACTCTATATGTATTCAGCAGAGATGTAGGTGGATCTGAGATCAGCAAAGCCGCATGAAAAAAGTCAATAATTGCCCTGCGTGTTCCAAGTGACAACAAGAAAACTGATACAAACTTGTTACTGCAAATAGGCAACCGTATCCCATTAGCCTCCAATCACAACGTCCAATCATGCGTAACACAACTGTTAAAAAGGAGAGTTGCTGCTGCTTTAAACAGAGTGTTCTTCCAAAATAAACACATAGCCATAATGAATGATTTGCACACGGACGTGGTTAAATATGCACAGGACCGTTTGGAACACTAAAATGAGAGGTGGGTCTTTCATTAATAGACTGACTGAACATGAAACCATGACAACGAAAGCCTCTCACTAAGAGAGCAGTCTTAAAAAAAGAACCTGGTCTTTGGTCTTTTTCTTGTTACACCTTCTAAAATGTCACCACCCAGTAGGAAATGTCGGTGGGGAGATACTTTCGGTTCAGAGAGTAGCACCTCGCACATAGAAAAGTGATGTGGTAAATGCATAAAAATGTACTATAACCATACATCTACCTCTGTCTCTTTAATCCCTTCTCAATTGGGTTCTCACCATTGGTTTTGGGGATACTAATGTGATTTGCTTTGCTCTAAACTCTGAATGACCTCTTACAGCAGCACACTGTACATCAGATGCTTTTGTCGTTTTATTTGTTGGATAATGTGCTCTTAAAAAACATGTCCAAGGAATATTATTTAATCATTTTGTATTGTACTTAATGATTGGAGATTTATGAGAAGCAGAATACAACAAGAAAAATACAATTTGATTTAAAAGGCTTTGATATTCTGGGACTAAATGTTAAAAAAAACCCCAAACTAACTCAATCCAAAATTTGTTGTCTCCAAGCACACGTCGAGATACGATGTCATTGTAATCATTTTCCTAGACCTGACAAAGCTCCCTCCAGAGCCACAAAAGACATTATAAAACTATTTTAACAGGCTGTTTAGCACAATTAGGAAATTTAATTTCTTCACCGATTTCACAGAGACTTGCAGTAAAAAGGAAAAAAATACTCAATGCAGAAAGATTTAGACACCAGCAGCTCCGCTATATATATATATATATATAGATATATATATATATATGTATATGTATATATGTAATGTTGTTGGTATGTTTGCCACTATTACGTGTTTATTGTGACTGCCAATTTAAGGTGGTGGAACCGCGGTGACAGTCGGCCAACATAAGATAAAATAATGAGTGCCAGAACGTTTACACAATTACAGTAATGTATTGCTGACATTGCACTGCCCTGATGTGTTAGGCCTCTGCAATGGTGCGCTATAAACAGGTTAAAACAAACTTAAAAAATGATGCACAAATACTGTTTGACACAGGTCAGGTTTGCTCAGCACGACCTGAGGAAAATCCGCTTTGGATCAAAACATGCTCTCATTAAACAGTGGCGGCTTGCAGTGCAGGTGTTTTTGCCTTTCATTAGTTTGTTTTTGTATCCAGACGAGTCTGAATGTCATCCTGCATCATTACCGACAGCCAGAGATTAAAAGGATGGAGGAGAGAGAGAGAGAGAGGAAGATGGAGAGAGGATGTTGGAGAGAAAGAAACAGAGATAGAAAGATGAAGATGGACTAACATGGCACTGCTGGCAGTCGCGCTGGACAGAGCGGTGCTCGAGATCACGCCACACTTGGAGCATTTCAGGAGCAGTCGGCTACGCGCCTCCGCTGGGACACTTTAGGTGCGCACACACACAAAACACACACACACACACACACACACACACACACACACACACACACACACACAACCATGTGGGGGGGAGGGGGGAAGGGGAGTGGGGAGTGGGGTGGCGGATGTGTGGAAGCACAAGTTCCAGTGATGGCAACAGGTGAATGTGCACGTGTCACAGTTGCAAAAGAACCAAAGGAAAAGAAGAAAAAAAAGAAAAGGAGAAAAAGTGGACACAAAAAAGAGAGGGAGGGGAAAAGAAAAGAAGGGAGAGGGGGAGGGAGAAAAGAAAGAAAGGCAAATTAAAAACCAGATCTTAAAAAGTAGCAGCAATGAATAACAGTCAGAATACAAAGATTGATTCAGAGCAAGTAGAGAGAAAGTGGGAGACGGACATTGTAATGTTACAGCAGAGTCATGTGGATTAACAGATTAACAGTGACACAGACAGGAAATACACCAATCATCTTATTCCACTGCCAGTGTAATGCAGGTGTGTGTGTGTGTGTGTGTGTGTGTGTGTGTGTGTGTGTGTGTTATTTATGTGAACATGTGACTGTGCACAATGAAGCTTTATCGGGGTGTAAGGGAAGGAAAAGAGTCCTTCGGTTGTTTACTTACAGTTGACTACTCATACGGGGAGAAACAGTGTATGTGTATGTGTGTGTGTGTGTGTGTGTGTGTGTGTATATATCGCAAGTGGAGAATGATGGGGCCATGCACGGGCTATGCTACATTAGCGTCCCATCACAGCTCATTGCCTTAGTGCCAGCCACATCCCCACGGCTTCATAAGGAAATACATTACGCTAATGACAGCCTGTCCAGTTAGCAACACTACCAACTACTGTGTGTGGGAGCGCTTCAATGGAAACTGTGCGCTTCTAAACGCATACTTCTGAGAATCGGAAATGGAATGTGCTTAATACTCGGCTAACGCTAAGGACTTTGCCTGTAACAAAGAAGGGTACACCTGTTTGTGTGTGTGTGTGTGTGTGTGTGTGTATGTATGTGTGAGATTGTGTAGGTGTGTTTGTACACATAAACTGGTTTAATCTCAGTTGCATCACCGGGTAACAAAAGCTAATCAACCCCCCGGAGAGCCAATCTGTACTGTTAACCCTTGCAGCGATACACAAATTATCAATTTCAATTTGCGCAGCAGACAGACGTTGGAGGAAATGTAATGAGAGAGAGGAAAAAGGAGAGAAAATAATAGAATCAATAGTTATGGAAATGAAAACTCGGATTTGGCTGCGAGAGCTCACAGGATTAGTAAATGAATAACCGCCAACTGCTTTAATAGACGTAATGTTGTGTGTGGATGCATATGCATGCATGTCTGATATGTATGCATATATCAAGTGTGCATGTTTGCCGTGGAATAACAAAAATAATCACATAATCCCGGTGTTTACAGTGTGTAATTAGATTTCCATCTGCCATTGATTTTCATATCCTCTGTATTCATCTACGTTACATAAAGGAAAACTAGGTGGAAACTGTATGTATGTGGAAGCGGTAGTGAAATGCTGATAGCAACACAACATAGCAGATGTCATTTTATTGCCAAAATTGGATTGTATCTTGTGATCATTTTTACGAGAGGCCCAGGTGCACAAGTATGTGTGTGTTCAGAGACCCCTGAAAGCAGTTCGAGTAAGTTGCCATGAAGATGTTGTCTCCCCGAGCTTGTGTCTGACAGAGGGTAAAATGTATCTAATGTAGCAAAATGTGTAGTCAGTTCCCAGGAAGAATTGAATGGATGGATGAGTAAGTGATGTATGTGTTTTGTGGGAGTGTGCGTTAATGTATTTTGTATGGAGTTGTTGATGTAGGAAGTTAACTTACCCTGCTCGCTGCTTTTTAGACTTGTCTGAGATGCCGTCTCGAGACATGAGCTTGTTAAACACCACAATTCCGATGAGCATATTCACCTGAGAGAGACAGAGAGGAGAGTTTGATCAGGATTGCTGTAATAGATGGGTTGCCAACAGCGATTCAGTTCATACTCTCTTCATAATAGTTTTCCTGTTTTTTTCTTTCTTACATTTTCAGTTCATTGAAAATGACTTTTTAATTGTCCTAGAGACTCATGACTGAAAGCGAAAGTGATTTTGCTGTCTAGGCTCCCAGGCAGACTTGCTCCTATGCAAGAGGAGCTTTAAGCTCATCTCAGTGACATTTCAGACAAAGCATGCATAGATTTCTTAGCATACAGCTATTGCTTACAGTTCTGAAAACATTCGTCATAATGAAGAAGAAATGTCTAAAGAGGAAGCGGAACATAATTCCAACACTTTACACTACAGCATCCCAGCTCTGTATACATGTTTGTGATCATTTTTAAACTGGTGCTATGCTTTGACAACAGAGGCACATTTATTAATTTTTAGTTATTAAGTGAAATCAAATCTAACCAGACTATGATATAACGATCTATCAATAAGACCTGTTTTATAAAACAGATACAGATGCAACTTCACATTTGGCCAATCACTTCTAAATTTCATTATCTAGAAATATTTTTCCTCCTCAGGTTCAATGATGTAACTCTGATGTAAGAGAATTAATTGTTGCAGTAGTGCTTGGCAGCAAACAACATCTTTTTTTTAAATTGTGTCAAAACATTTCTTTTGGTCATACTGCTGAGCACTGTGTTGCATTACAGCTTCCAGGCCACTACTGGCAGTACTGAGCACTGTGTTGCTGGAAGAAGTTTAGCCAACTTTAAAAAGGTACTTGTAAACAAACAAAAGTTATGTTGACATTCTCACCAGAACCCCTTGTGTTTATCTTGGAGGTCAAACAAATATGTTGAATGTATTTCTTTTCTTATAAAACAGGCCAATTAAAAACCATGTTATACTTGTTAACAGTCTTATTCTCCACTGCCTTTGCTGGTGCATTGCTGTGCTTCTCTGCATGTTACCGCCACCAACTGTTGATCAGTGGAAGAGCCCGGCAGCAGGGTGTGCATCCTTGCATGTGCTATACCATACAAACAGAACAGGGACCTACTCTTAAAAGCACTGCATCAAAGCCTACTAGTGGTCAAAGACTCAGCAAGGTACTTTGAGATGTCAGGGCTATTAGTTGTATTAGTCTATCAAGCATAGAGTAGGTTTAGGCAGAGCACTGATGTCTGCCTGTATCTTTTGCAATATGCTTCACAATGATTGGCTCACTCACAGCTGGGTGGCTAGTAACATCCAATTATATCCATGCAGGTGTGTAAAACAGACATTATTATCACTGTTTATTCTCCTGATTATGCTCCACCACCACAAGCTCCTCCTAATGTGGTACTTTATATTGCTGATTTAACTAATATTAAATGATCATGTATTTGTTCAAATCTACTTCTATAACCATTCGTTTTAAATGGTCAATTTCTTGATGTAAGTTTCTCTGACAGAATTACACAAAACAGTCAACATACAGTAATTATGATCTCTCTAAGCTAAGACTTTCCAATTGTGTTGACAAAAATAAATAAATAAAAAATCACCCTGGTTTCTCTTACTAATGAGGAGCCCACAGATAAGCCTGCCAAACATCTGGCCACAGTGACCCAGTGATAGAGATTCTATTAGACACACAGATCTGAGCCAGGGCTTGCCACATCAAGACCTTCCACTCGGAAATCCTGCCCATATGGGAGATTTTCTTTGCTGGCGACATGTTCCTTCTAATCCCGATTTCCTGACATTCATCCATATTCGTTCTTCCACCCTCCGTGGGTTTCTGTCTTTTGTGTCTCTTGGGTGTCTCTGTTTGGTTATTATATATCTGTTTGGGTCAGCGGTGAGGTGGATTAGCAACAAATGACATTCCCGCTCTAGTGCCTATACTGTGCATGCAATGCATTCCTATTCTTATCAAAGTCCTACACTCAATGTCTGCCTGGATTCCTGCCTTCATCTGTCACCAAGAGTGTTGGCCCAGGCAGAAAAATGTTATAGATTCCATACACGGTTGCTAGAAATCTTAAAGAAAGAGCAGAGTAGTTGAGCAGTTAAAGTCTGACTTTGATGTGGTCAGTCTTTGCAGATTTTGCAGAAGTCAGATTTTTACGTGAAACCTACTGCTTCGCTACATCTGGCAGCTTTTTTGCAATTTGCTAAAAACTCTCTCTCCCTCTCATTCTCTGATCCCCTTCCCTCTCGTGTGTTGCTGCTGACAACTACCTAGGATGTGCCAGATTGTGAGAGCACTATTGTCATGCCAGTCATGTCTGGCCCCGGCTCTGTGAGTCAGCATCATCCTGCTCTGCTATTTGCCCAAGGCCAGGTTCATTAATTAGAGAAGATCCCTGTGGGAAGGTCTGTGTTTCTCTGCCCGACGTCCCTCTCTCATTACAGCTGTTTGTTAGAGTGGGACCCCGGCAACAACACCGGGGGGCCGGGGACCATTACATAGCAGCTGGGGTGTGGAGTGTACATCGACATTGTGGAGGTAGAAGAGGTGGAAAGTTGGAAACAGTCCAAGAGACACCAGGCAGACACTGACACACAGCGTATGAGGATTACTGTGCTTTGATTTTACATGACAGCTTTGACCTTTGAGCTCTTATGCATACAGACACCAACCTTTCTTTTATTATAATGTGCAAGTCTTACTATTATAAGTTTATATATAAAACACCACTGGACTATGTAACCTTTAAATAATAGTAGTATTGGAAGCTACTACATTATCATAATCATGAATATTCAGTGCTTAATAATCACACCTTCCTTCCCGTCCCTTGCTTGAAGAATCAATCAAACTGCCACTCTCTTGCCAGGAATTGACTTCAAATACATGCGTATCACTCTTTACACCTGAGACGCTGTCTGATCCATGCTTCCGTTCTGACATGTACTTTCCAGTAAGTTTGCAAGCAACAAAAAAAAGATATTCTAATGCAAGAGCAGACGCACAAACACAGCAACTACAACAACAGCAGCAGTGGCAGCAATTAACAAACTTAAAGTTTAATACCCCATCCAGACTTATTAAGCTTAGTGGTGGAAATATCCACCCAGGGATTCATTTAGGAGAAATTAGCTAATCCTAGAAACAGCCACATACAGCAGCACACAACAACAGATGATTAAAACACCACTGAGATGCAATCAATGCCCTCCATTTTGCTGTAGGACAATATAGAGCTGTATTTACTTGTGAATAAAAATGTCTGTTTTATGGGAATTGGCAAACACAAACAAAGGACACATCATTATAATGCTGGTGAACACTGTTAGACACATATTTATGTCTGAAAAGAAGTAATAAAAAAAGCTTTGCATCGGGTACAGTGACTCATACTTTGAAAGTACACATAAGAGTGAGATATTTGGCTGCTGGGCTAGAATTCAGTCCAGGCATGTGATGCATGGCTGGGAAACTCTGGAATATATTTTAGTTTTTCTGGGCTGACATTTTACACTCAAAGATCAAAGTGCTCATCTCATCATTTTGTCGTGGACACCGCGGGTCTGTGTGCTCACACGTGCATGTGCTAGCGAAAAGAAGAGGAAAATCCTCAGAGGTCAGCTCCAGCTGCTTTAAAGAGCTTAGCTCGAAGGCGAACTTTACAAAATATTTGTAGAATTATGCAATGTGACCATTGAGACAGGGAGTGAGGAAACCTCGCCGAGAGACAGCGTGTTGGACAGACTCACCAATACAATGACAGCAGCCGGCCCAACGAAGGCATAAAGCAGCCCGCCCTCCAAGGATAACCAGCAACTAGAGAAGAGAGAAAGTTTTTTAAGCACAAAACACAGCAAAAACAGGATAAAATATCACTTCACCACATTCCGATCTCACATTTCACTTGATGTGAATGCCAAGTACTTAACCACAACAAGTACACAAGCAATTAAGGATCACATTTACTCAAATTTCCTAAGTGAGGGACAAAGCAGTCATTTCTATGGGTGTGTAAGTGCCGGTTTCTGTAAATATTGCCCTCAGTGCCGAGCACATTTATTATGTATATTACCTAAAACATATCCTCAAACTGTAAATGCTCTCGTGAAATTTCATTTGGTGTGAAAGCTATTGAGACTTAATGAGTTTAAATGTGTCCTCCAGTGATGTCATCAGAGCACACTGAAACTCCTCTGTTGTCTTAATTGCAGCTCAATAGAAAAGAGAGATGAAGAACACACAGCCCAAAAGCTAATATTCAGTCCTCGTATTAATTGAGATGTTGAATAAAGAGGGAATACATTTGTAAACATCTTGTGAGATATGTTTTCACTGAATCAGTTACACCATTGGCTGGGTAACACAGCCCAACAGTAACTGTTAATAGTGCCATTTGAATTAGCTGCCACAAACAAAAGTTGCAAAACAAGCTTTATGCCGCATGAATGTTGAGAGGTCTTGAATATGATTTTGACTCAATACAAATTTAACACATGCACTACGCTTTCCATCTGACATTTAGAGATTAAAAAATTGCTCAAAATCCCCTTTCGAACACGTAAAGTGGATAATCTTGTCACCTCAATGAGATTAATTTTATTTCAAAGGTCCTGAAAACCTATTCTCTCAATCAGTTTCTAACTTGAGTGATGGAGTCTAATATAAACAGTTGTGGTTGTTTCACATAGGGGATTTAAGAAGCTTTCTTTGTTGCTTATTAAGTCATGAATATTTAAAGTTAAACAGAAATACTTTTTAAACCTAGGTTTTAGGGGCTTTAATGTGTTTTCAACAGAATCTTGACAACCCCTCCAACAAGTGTGATCAACAACATTGACTTGGACTTCAGTCCCCCTGTGATGCAGAATAGGAATAAGCAGTTTTAGAAATTGGATGGAAAGATGGATGCGAGTAAAACAGAATGCTTTGTTGACACAAAGAATGTGAAAAATACATTCAGAGTTTATATATTCAAACTGTTTATAGCAGAGCCTAGACTGAATGAATCAATGACCACCTCTGGTAAGTTATAAAATAGAATTGTATAATAATACAAATTTAGACCCTGGCTAGAAACCTTCAGGGAAAATGACTGACTATTTCAAACAGCAAAGGGAAACTTGGGCATGCTTTGAATGGTAAGCAGGAAAGGCGGAGGCGATGGGTGGTTCTGTGCCTCCAGACCATCCAAACACAAATCAGAGGTAAAAACTGAGTGATGATGTCCAAATGGAATCAAGATTAGTGTGAGGGACAGGGCAGGGGGTCAGGAAGCAGTACTCACTAGCTGGCTGTGCCGTAACCTCTTGCTCTGGTGAAACCCACTGACACTGCTACAACTAGGGCTGGAAGACCTGCAGACAGAGAAAGATCAAAAAGGGTGAGACAAAGGATAAAAGGAAGCCTTAATGGGGACAATGAAGCATGTCTGCAAAATAAGATTCTCCAGTGTGACCAACTCCATATCGCTCTTCCTATTAAAATGCTAAGCAGCCACGCAATAGCACGTAACTTGTGCATATGTGATTGAAAGTGACTGAGTGCTCTGTAGGTAAAGCCCAAGTGCTCCCTGTCACAAAGGTCTAGCTGTAGGCATGAAAACTGGGCTTAGATCCCAGTTCACTGCATGGGATGGAAGCACTGATTTAGCATTTAAGCAGTGATGGGAGGAGTATTCAGATCCTTTACTTCAGTACTTGAGTACCAATACTGAAAGTAAAAGTCCAAAACAATAGAAAAGTGTCATTGGTGAAATTTAGTTTTTGTTCTTGTTCTTTCACTGTGCAGAATGATGTATGTGCAGAGTTTGACACCAGAAGGATGTTTTTTACATTCATCTGCTGAAAGTAAAAAGGTTTCTCTGTGGGGCGGGGCCTACGAGCATGATTTGTGACATCACAAATAATCTGGAAGTCAAATCCTGGTCCAATTTGCAATTCATGTAAGTGTGATGTAGAAACTTGAAACCAAAGACACACATTATTGTTCCAAGCAGACTATTTGTCTGTATACACATCTGTCTCCAAAGGGTCACATGATGAATCTGACGGATCATGAGATGATGAATGGGAGAGGACAGAATAAATAGTTCTGATACACAAATCTCTTTTGAACAGTTATATGAACCTGTGTGAAAGGTTTAGAAGGGAAATGTATCTGTAGTGGAACAGCTAACAACAAATGAACATGACAAGGAGCCCCACCTACATACTGAGGCTTTGGGCCTTTGTATTGTATTTTATAAGCTAAACGTGTTTTTAATGTAAAGCCTTAATTTGAAAAGAAGTAACCAGTTTCCTCTAGCCACCAAATAAATGCAGTGGAGTAAAAAACTAGAACATTTTCCTCTAAAATAAACGATTGGAAGTATAAAGTAGCATACAATGGAAATACTTAATTAAAGTACAAGTACCTCCCAGTTATAGTTAGTTATGTACATTTAATCAAGCACCGTACTTACTTTCCACCGTTGCATTTAAGGCCATTCTTGTGTACATTAACCCTGCCATAGGCAACCCACCCATGTAGCATGCCTGTGCGTGGGCGTGTGAGTAACACTCCAAGCATGTGAGACTAAAAAAGTTTGAAAAGAAATGTAAGGTATAGCTTGAAGTGGTCAATAAGTCATGGATTAATTAGCTAAATCAAGCCATTTGTGTGTGTCTGCGTGTGTGTGTCTGTAAATGAGAGGGAAAGAGAGTGAGTGTCACAGAGCACGTGCTAGGAAAAGGAGGAAATATGCTGGCCCCGTAATGAGCTTGGCTCTGAAATATTCATGTAATTAACAAAGCTGTGATTATGGCTGCAAATGAAAAGCAATTAGAAAAAGTCACATTAACATTAACAAATAAGATGGTGGGGAGCCAGGCTGGTCCACTAACCAGCATGCACAAAGTTTCAATTAGACAGCAACAACATCAATCTAGCATTTATCGATATATAATACAGTAATCACGCACCTATACATAATGCATACACACTTCACTGTTAATCTAACACAGATCCAGTCACACCCCAAATCTCCTGTTTCCATGGTAACTGATTTCAATCACATAAAATTGTGGAAAATTGGAGAAAATTGTGAAATGGATGCGAGGAGGATAAGCTGTTTGATCCCCTCCACTCTGCTACACTGTTTTGTGTATTTCATGTGCATTTGGAAGCGTATCGGATAATTCTATAGTTTCCACTGCACACCCAGCACACACACATACACAAACACGCTGTGTTTCAGTATCTCTCCCACTATCTGTGACTGTACAGCAATCTATACATTCTTCCCCCTCTGTATCAGGTAAGGGCATCAGTGACATGGCAGATTAGACCGGTGGGATCAATATCGAGTGAAATGAACAGTGTGTGGCGATGGTGCTGGGGGGCTGGGGTTGTAATTTCTATTTCTTGCTATCTCAAAGCATCTTGCCACTGTTATGCAAATGTTATCATATGTTACATCCCTGGCGCTTGTTGCATCAGGTTGTAGTACACGGAGAGGACAGCATAATACAGTGACATGGAGGGTGAATGCAACAGAGGTGATGTACAGCTGAATGGCACAAAGAAGCGAGATTACCTTTACTCTGAATGTGTATTGTGACATGCTTTGTCAAAGCATGTAAAAGTGAATGTCTAGCTTTGGCTGTTTAGATAAGATCACATTAGAATCTGCATCTGAATATCATTAAAGTGTATGAAACATAGGATGAATGAGAAATGAGCAAATGAAGGTTATTAAACATAATGCAGTCAACAATTTCAACACTACAACATAAAAATGCCTGTATTGTTGCTCTCCATCACCTATTCATGTCACACAACAGTGGTTCAATCAGCATCCAATTCATGAAAGCGCTTCATTTGCTGGATGCTGGAAATCCTCTGGCACAGAAGGACAGTTTATATTTCCAGTAACAGCAAGAGCAGAAACTTACATTAGCAGCTAAGCGTTAACAGTGAATGCTGAAATGATACTGAATAGTCTCTATCAAAATGCAGTGACTACCGAAATTCAAGCCATTAACACACAATGTGTTGGCACAAATGACTGACTGACATGTAATCTCTCAAAAAAACATCAGCAATATACCATACAAAGTACTTTAAAGAAGGCTAGATGTTGATGGCTGAAGGTTGTTGAAAGACAAAATTATTGTATTACAAATGTCATTGTGTGTATGCACTCGTCGTGCTCATATGCATTTTGCGTGCACAGGAATGTACTTCCATGCGGTGTTCATTTTGTCAGTTAAAACTATCACAATAAAAATGTGTTTAAAAAATAGAGACTAAAGACTAAAACTAAATAAAAGTATCCTTTAAAAATAAAACTACAACCACATTCATTACAATTTTCATCCTCCAATAAAGACTAAACAATAATGCAAAAGATGGACGAATGGACAAAACTAATTATTGTTTTAGTGCAAAGTCTTGTGCATGTACTAAGTGTAGTGAACATGAAGGAACCCTGTATCATTGTAATTGGAACTGCAGTAAAATAATGGATTTTTGGAAAGAAGTAAAACATATGATGGACAGGATCACTTCTCCAGAGGCCCTTTGTCCTAAGAACTACATTTTAAATCTGTACCCATCTAACTTAAAACTAAGGAAGAAGGAATATACACTTGCAGATATGTGTATCTTGCAAGCCAAATGGCTCATTGCTCTTTACTGGAAGAAAACGAATAGGCCAAGTATCAAAGAATGGGTCAATGAAATGGCATCATGTATGGTATTAGAGAAGATAACTTACATATTGAGAAATAAACAACATTGTTTGAAGAAACCTGGAAACTTGAATGTTTCCATCTTCCAAACTAGTTTCCTCCACGATTACAAAAAATGAATCCAAGGAAGTGATTGGATTGATCGATTTGAAATCAGTAGAGGAGGACATCAAAAGTAATATTGTAACTAATTATTTTTTTTGTAATCGTTTTTGGTTCCACTACTAGTTATTACTGTAATATTATTACTAGAAATGAGTTACTGCTCAACCCTGCTGAAGAATCACACATAGTAACTAACGTCACTGTTTAACCAATAATGAAGGAAAAGTAACTTCACGGACTAAATATCTCCAGTCCTTCTCAAAATTAGATCAATGACAAATTCATTCAATGTTTGCTATGATTGTTTGCAGTGATGCACAATCAAAATGCCAGGAGAGAGCCAAATACTTAACAAAGACACCTATGAATTTAGCTGTGAAACGAATCTAAAAATGAATCAAAATCAGGTGCTAAAATGAATACAGCAGCCATGTGTGTGTGTGGTAATGTGTGGTAGTGTGGGAGCTCACCCCAGCCGAGGCATAGAAAACGCTTGCGAATGAGTCGTGACCTCAGTTTGCCAATGACGGCCAGGTAGGACTGCCACGCCTCTGTCAGCACCCAGCAGAAGGACGCCAAGAAGAAGAAATGCAGGAAGGCAGCAGTCACAGTACAGAGGCCCTGCAGTGAAAATAAAGGGAGATAGGGAGAGATAAAAGCGTTGGCGACGTTTTACAAAGAAATAAAGAAGATAGTTTCATGAGAGGTGTCATAATGAATCATCTCTTAGGACAATTCAGCAGAGCAAAGTGAAACCTCCGCAAAACAAAGAGGACAAAGTGAAAAAAGGGAGTCTGATGAAGCACATATTGTTTAGAAGAGTAGGAGTTCAACCTGGCTCGGCTGTGTTACTCATTTTGATCGATACTGACCACCACACACTGCAGTCTTGCTTAGTCAGAGTACACAGTGTGCCGTGTGCCAAAAAATGTCAGCGTGCCACTTTGATAACTCCACTGTATCAACTTGGTCTACCGTTGAGCCCAGTTTTGTTTCAAAGCATTATGAAAGGCTTGGTCAAGAGCACTGCTACCGGGATCATAAATGTGCTGACAAGGTTTACTGTGGAAATCAAGTTGCAGTGTGTGGGAATAGAATTCTCTCTGTGTGTTTATCTGTGCACAGCACCTTACCTTGCTAAGCGTTTGAGATTGTCCCACCAAAATCAATAAATTGGAGGCCAAGATGGAGAGGCAAAAATTCACTAAGATGATGGATCTCTCCGACCGTATATACCTACAGAGCAGAGGACGAGAGAGTGGCAGAGAGGGAGAGAGAGAGAGAGAGAGAGAGAGAGGGGACAGACATGTGAGATAAGTATTAATGACAGATTGATGGACTGTACAGAATCTTTTTGGACATTGCAGATTCATTAGCTTGATTTTACCATCTGTCATGTGTGTTAGCAAAATCTAATCACCACCCCCTGCTGTAGTTGAACCATTTGTTCCTTATTAGGCCTCACTGTAGTTTTGGCACAGCAGAGGACACACACAAAATGCACTTTTATGTATTGTTAGGCTTCTGCATGGTGATCGAAATCACCACTTTACTGTTGCGCGTGTACATGTACCTCCAGAAGGCAGCGTAGATTAGCAGCAGGATGAGCAGAGCTGTGCAGGAGACCCCACAGCCCACCATGAGGGGCACAGAGGGCATGCTGGCAGGACCCATGTCCTGAAAAAGAGGGTAAAGGAAGGAAAAAGGAGGGATAGAGAGGGGGAAATGGATGGTTAATAATTACTGCAAGGCATTATTCCACAGGTGTATTTTGCTTGACAAACCCTAATGTTTTGCTTTTGTTAACAAGTTACATCTTATTTTATTGTAACAAAAACAAAAAAATACAACAAAAAAGGACACTGGTTATTTAAAGTCACAGGGAAATGGCATCTGCAGCTTCTGTCATGTTTATACTGGCTTCGAGACCATGCGTCATAGGGCTTTACATGGATCAGACACTGCTTGGCTTTGCTATTAGAATGCATGCATTTATTCACTAAATAGGGTTACTATTGGTTTACAGCAATGCCACTACAGACCTCCAACCCTCCTGGACAGTAATTCTCCTTGTCTCTAATTTCACAGATGTGTGAATATGACTGTCAAATGTAAGTCTGACTATTCTTTTTTTAAAATCAGGTTACCAAGGAAACTAAATCCTAGTTTGGAAAATAATTTAATGCTAAAGTACTTAAATACTTAGCTGACCTTGTCAGTGTAGTTTGCAGCCAGAGGATTTTCATTCTGACATGACAAAACAATAATCATGTTTTCTGCTTTGAAAAAAATTATATAAAAAACAGAAAACAAAAAGACAACCCATCTGATTTTATTTGATGTGCTTATAAATGGAAATCTGGAATTCAAATATGTGTGCGGAAATCTCTTTTCTCAACTTTGTGCTGATTTTTTTGTTGTACCGCTGGCTTTGAGAAGGGGCATCAATTTCAGAATGATGTGTATATTTACAAAAACCAATGAGGTATAGCGCAACAAATACCAAATCTTGTGTGGTAATGCTTTAAATATGCTATGTTTGAACTGTACAGTTGAATATGGGTAAAAAAAGATTTGCAAATCATTGCATTCTGTTTTTATTTACTGTTTACAAAGCCTCCTAACTAACGTAACCAGAGGCACCACAACATCTGATCCCGCCATAAGACACGGTAACAAGTTGACACTGGATTTACAATAAATCTGATAAAATGTGTAATATATTCTGACTGATCTTATTAAAGTTAATAACACTCAACCACCACGTTGCCACCATGCAACCCTCCTCTTTCGCTCTGCTTGACTGCAAAAAGATATGAATATGTCTGTTACTCATAAGTCAGCTTTATTTTTCCCTATTACGCTATTGCCCTTATTGACCACAATGTTAAACTTCCTAAACAAAAAAACATTACTTGCAGCGAAATGACAGTGAAATGCACCCATTTTGCCAGATGTTTGAAGCTAGTTTCTGACAAGACTGAAACAAGCCAGTATTTACCCATGACGACCCTGTGTTTAATGTAATAGCCAGTGTCATACGCAGGGTTAATGTGCAAAAAGGGTATAAGAGCTTAAAGCCAGATGCATGGATAGATACATAAATAGATAAGGAGGGAGAGCAATAACTGATAAAATTGAATAAATCCAGTCAGATTCTTCGCTTGTATAGATCAAAGTAATTGTTGGCACACTCACTTTGCACTTACAGTATCTATTAACTCTTGTACTTCCTTAGCTGCAGTCCCATTGGTAGCTCCTTTTAATTACATCCCCTTAATTACATGTAATTACCTTTAATTAAAATGACAAAAGTCTGTCAGATGGAGCCGGATAATACCACGTAATTACACTATTGTGAAACTTGTTGTTTGTTCGGAGTATCTTGACCACTTTTCTGATGTCACCTACAGACCTTGTAATCATAATTATAGTTTCAATTTACTGTTATTTACTGCAACACATGAATACTTATTCAGGTAACCAACCAACTGCCATGGTAGAGAATGTACACTGGGAGCCCTCTGAGCACCCATTTACACCCATTGTAAGATTTCTCATGTACAAGGTTAAAACCACTAGACCATGGCGCATAATTAAGCGATTTAGGTCAGGGTGTACAGCGCACCTCTGCTTTGACTCTCTCTCTTGAGGTGTGCCTATGAAAGGATGAGGAACAGACAAATGAAGCTGTGTGGAGAGCATACACCCCGCCGTGTCCCAAATGGGCTCTATGTTTGGCCTGCTTTTAAGTTCTCAATCACACAATTTACCCCAATTTACCTCCTAGAGTGGCTAGCCTTCCCTTTCATCCCCAAGATTCATCACTGTGTACACACACACACACACACACACACACACACACACACACACACACACACACACACAAGGTTTTACTGCAAATAAAGTACATGCTCACACACAAAACCACGTTCAGGCAGATGAGCCAAGTAATTGAAAGTCAGTGTTTAAGCTGTGTGAATGTGTGTGTCTATTTAAGATGATCTAAAGGCTGAGGAGGAAAGCAAGAGAGCGCACATAAGAAAGGAATAAAGAATGCAAACTGAAAGGAAGGAGTAGGATAGAAATTCAGAGAGAGAGATGGAGTGGGAAGAGAAAGCAAAGAGTAGGAGGAGGAAGCAATAGATAGGGAGAAAAGAAAACGAGCGAGAGGCAAAGCTTCCCTTTTAGTGGTTTTCCCTGGCCCATCAAAGGAAGCCAATTTCTCCAGAGGAAAATGGAATAGGCTGGAATACCAATATGAGCACACACACAAACAAGCTGAGAGGAGAATGGAGGTGAAACCTAATCAAAACCACCTCATAAGAAAGGAGAGACCCACAGAAAAAAAAAAAGAGAGAGACTGGATATGACAAGCATCTGCTTCAGGAAAAAAGGGAGGCCTACGAGGAGAGAGAGAGACAACAGAGACTCAGTGTGTTTGATATTATGTAGAGAGGAAGGTCAAAGGATACACAGGCATTAGTGTTTTTTTGAGGTCTGACAGATCAAACATGGGGATGCATGGGGAATGACAAGCAAACACACACGCACGCACACACACACACACACACACACACACACACACACTTACACAAGCCTATTGAATTTCCTTTTCTCTCTCTGTCTCTTTTACTTTGTCTTAAATTAGCCTCTACCAGACAAGTAATGGAATAAATTACACTCTTACTTCTAATTTACTCAATATACATCCTCAAATTGTCCCCTCAGCTCTTCATTGTGTCAATTTGCTTAATTGCTACATTTAGGTTATATGTGCGTGATGAGATTAAGCGTCTAATTTCATAACGTGGAAGGATGCTGCAAAGGAGGAAATGGAAAAGAAAAAAGGAAACACCCGCACCATCAGACACACAAAAGCAACACATCAGGCCTGGGTGTCACACAAATGCCCTGCTCTAAATAGATAGAGCGATATTATGTTGCAGTTGGAGGGGACATGTGTGTGTGTGTGTGTGTGTGTGTGTGTGTGTGTGTGTGTGTGAGGGGAGAGAAAAGCACAGAGAGAGGCTACAGATTAGAAAGAGTGTGCTGAGGCTCTGCTGTATACGGCCAGGCTCCCATGGGCAGCTTGACTACCATGTGATGGAGAAGATAGCTATTTTCAGCTCAGGAAGTTTAACCTACTTATCTCCACTCACTGACACTCCGCCCCGCCCCCCCCACTCCCACCTATCCTGCTACCACCCTCCTCCCTCCCCTCTCTGTGTCTCCCATTCTTTTCCCCCGCTCCCTCTCTACCTTTACCTCTTACTCACTCGCAGCAGTGGGTCTCTCTCATTATCTTCTTTCACGACATGTCCATTTGTATCTTACTACTTTTTTTCCCCTATTAACTCTCCAACCCCCTTCTCTATTGGAAGGAAAGCATTACATTTGTTGAATTTGTTTGTACGAGTGAGTGTCTTTGTGTAGTATGTCTCATACAATAGCCCAATATACTGTAGGCTATGAAAACGCTTTTCCCATTGCACACTAGTTGTAGCTGAAGAAGGCATTTTGGAAACTTTATGGCCTCAGAAAACAGTTTATATACATTTTGTGGAACTGATTCATACAAAGGTTGCATTAGTCAACTCCATTGGTCAACAGAAAATGGAATGTCGTCATTAAAACGCCGCTACCACCACGCTAGCAGTCTTATGAGGCTGCTTGGGAGCTAAATGTCAGTGTCGGCATGCTAGCACGGTCACAATGACAATGCTAACACGCTGACGTATAGCAGCAGTTGACCACGTTCAGCGTCTTAGCTTAGGGTGCTAGCATGCTAACATTTGCTAATTAGCACTATAGACAACGTAGAGCTGGAGCTGATGGGAATGGAATTAGTTTTGTACCAAAGTACTGAACAAATTAAAAAAAATAAGCTGTTACAATCCATATTTTTCTATTAACAACGGACCATGTATATGTGAAAGGACATTCCTCGACGACACAGGTAAGTATCAACCTGTTCATAGACGCAGCAAGCAGCTGTTCCTGGCAGACAGGGAAGAAGCTAGTGGAGCATTAAGCAGTTAAAGAGCCAGATATTTCCCTCAGGAGTTGGTGAAGACCAAAAACAGAGCTAAATACGAATGTGGTGCATATGAGACCTAAATTCATAATTCACACAAGTGTACAGAAATACAACTCTAAATAATTGCTAATGTAGCTACATATTGGCTAGATGTGTAAATAATCACACACCCCAGCAACCTCTTCCCTACGAGGCTTTACGGAGGTGTAACAACATTACGTTCCTTCCGTCTTTGCCATGAAAAGGTAAACATACTTCAGGTTGTTTCAGGCATTTGTACAAGAGACAGCTGTTTGAATTTAGTTTACCATTGTGGATATTCATAACGGCTCATGTAGTATGGCATTTTTTTGCAGTGTATTGCATAGTCCCTGTAGGCTTTGGAAATGCTATGCCCCCTGTGAAAAGATGGCATTTTCAAAATTCAAGCTATTTACCTTTGGCAGTCATACGCCCCTTTGGTCCCCACACAGGTACAAGCATACACAGTAAGCAGGCTGCACAGGCTGTGCCCATGCAGAGATTTTATATATGTTGCTAATCTAGCGTTCCTGCTACTCAGTTGCCTATTTTGCTGTCATGGCACTAGGTAAATGTTGCCTGCGATATACTTCAACTGAATCCATTCAGCAGAATC